TATATATATATCATTATTTATAAGCTTACACCCATTACTTGGCCTCTATTTTAAAAAGTTTACAAGGCTGAATATGATAGTAATGGCTGGAAGGTCTGAACAATTTAACTAGTCTTACTCCATTGTTTTGTTAGTACATAGTATTAATCAAATTTAATAATTTTTTTTCTCTCATTAGTATTGATGTCGGTGTCTTTTTCTGTGGTCCAAGCGGTTTGTCGGAAATCCTTTATAAAAATTGCAAACTGCATTCTGAAATTTCCAGAGACGGTTGCCGATTTTTTTTATAACAAAGAAAACTTTTAATTTCTGTTAAGAGTATTTAGCAAAACTTCAGTGCCAAGGGTGACACCAGGATTTGCCCGACAGGGGCAACGAGAGAAAAGTGGGCATGGTCGGGCATTGCTTAAAAATTTAGTGGTTTCAAACGCTTATTTTATCGACTTTAGAGTCCACTAATATGTAGAAAATACATACAGTGCACCTTCAATGCTGTAAATATATGTAATACGTTGATAGTAAATTATAAACCATTACAGTACACATAAAAGAAGTGTAAACCATCACAAAGAAAGAAGTGTGTACTGATATACATTTATGATTGCAATATATATACATTTATTCCGTCAATCAAATATTCTTTTTTTACTTTGAAATCATGATAAATTCAAATATTTATATACAGTATATGAAATGTATCTACAGTACTTAAATAGGTATTCAAATTTTTAAAGTTTACATTGAAACTGAGTCAATAGCAACACAGGTCTCGTTTGATCCAAATCTTTAGAATGGTAGTCCATGGATACGAGAATATAAATTGTGGGGTGTTCTTTAAATTTGTATCGCATACTTGTATCCATAATTTTAAAGTTAAGAAAGTTCACTGTAGAATTAAGCTTCAGCAGGGTTCCCAATTTGGAAAACCCATTTCCGGGCGATTCGTTTAATGACCTTGGGGGCGCTATATATTCTATGAGAAAAAGTGTGGGTACTAAACGAAGGGCCACACCCACCTCAGGCCCATCATGATTGGGGCTGAGGTAATGACATTTTTTAGAATAGGCACCTTTAAAAGCTTGGAAATGGCACTGTCAGATTGCACTGTTAGGCCTAAGTAAAACAAAAAGATTTGTTTTTGACAGAATATGTGGGAGATAAGTGAATTTCTGGGAGATTATTGCTTGTTTGCGGGAGACTCCCGGGAGAATTGCGACCCCTGCTAAGCTTTGTCAGTAGTTTTTCTCATTAAGTAAATGATTGGAATGGTGTACTCTATCATATTGTTAATGCTTTCCTCTTCCATAAATAAGTTTAAAGGCTACCTTGAAACACTGGCAAAACCACAGCCTAAAAAAAGAATGAACCCTACCAAAGTGGATATCTTAGAGGTGCTCACAAACCTTAACAGGTTTCCAATTTAGAGGTCAATGTAAATCAAGGAAAATGATGATGATTACAATGACTACAAATTGTTCAATAATAATAATAATAATAATAATAATTTAAACAAAGTCATTCAATTTTATTTATTATTGTAGCTTTAAATTGAAGAACAAATAAAATAATTTTTTGTGCAATTTATTTTTAAAATATGTATTTAAATTATGTCTGATTATCATGTCCCTAGGCTCTTTAGCTGCCTTGATGAAGAATTTCCTGCATCCTCTGCATTTTTTTTATTCTTTTGGTTATTCTAACAAGATTAAAATCGTGGTGCTGCTGTTGTTTCTGTTGCTGCTGCTGTTGTTGTTTCTGCTGACATGATAATCAGACATAAAGAGCGTGTTATTTATTATAACAAAGCATTAAATCGAGAAGCATTGGCAAAGTTAGCCAATGTATATTATCACGCAAACCTTAAATGCGTAAGGAAAGAACACCCAGCGTTCCACCCAAGAGACCTTAAAATTCCATGTGAAACAGAGATAAAAAAAAATCACCGGAAGTTCTTGAACTCTAGGGGCTGGCTTCTTTAAAATGAGAGTTTTGCAAAAAAAAATTTAAAAAAAATAAATAAATACAGCAGCTTTTGTTCTAAAATGAGGACCCCTTAAAGCACCATTCCTGGCAAAATTTCACTAAAAAAACTTTTTTTTTGTTAAATTTTTTTTTGGGTAGATTTTAATATTCTAAATCAAGAACAGGATTTAGGAAAAGATATGTCATTAGCTCAGTAAGATCAGCAAACAGTTGTACTTGCTCTAATCTATGTCTACAATTTGTTGCAATGCTAGTGGTAAATGGATGGAAGTCCATTATGTTCATTAAACAAAGTGTTACATGCTTCCATAGTTTAAGAGAGAGAGAGAGGGAGAGAGAGAGAGAGAGAGAGAAAAACACAATACAATACAGAGAGATTGATTATTTGATAAAAATATAGTTGAGAAGTAAGTGTTTGGAGAATAACCTAACACTATTAACAGTTCTCAATAATAATGATAAATAATGGGAGATGAAAAGATGACTGGTATTTCGTCAATGCAACTGTTATTAACAGAAAATACAAAATACTGTATTGTGGCAATTCTGAGATAACAGCATCAATAATATCTTTTTGATATACAGTAATCACTAAAACTTTAACAATAGTAATAAGAGAAAAAAATATTTTTCTGTTATGATTTGTTAATACCGGTACATATGCATCTGTCTTGAGACCAAACGGCATTCAAAATGCGTTTGTTTTCTGGTTAAGTTTTCATGAATGAAAATGTTATTTATTTTTTGCTTATTGTATTGATTGAATTTCAATTTTTTTGGCTTATCTGTAATCTATGGCTTTTTTTTTTGCCACGGTGGAAAAAATAAGACTTTAATCTTTCAAAATAATAATTAGTTTTTAAAAATCCCTTAAAGGTATTTCCCCTGAATAGGGGCACCTTTTCTACTAATTTTTTGAGATCTCTGTTACAATGAGTCATTAATAAAGAATGGCACAGACCGTATATATTTGTCGAATTCTGCCTGAGTTATTTATGATTTACTCATCATTTTGGCATCAAATGTAATTATAAGTATAGTAGAACCTTAAAGGGGATACCTTCGCAAACAAAGTGTCCCCTTAATAGGGCACCTTTATTATAAGAACACTAACCAAATAAGTGAACGATATAAACAATTAAATAGCATTGAACTCACAATTACAGTCTTCTTTTCTTGCATCCACTACACTAGAGAAAATATTTAATGCTGTGGAATGACATATCTTGTAGCAGAGAAAAGCTATGTAGCTATTTAAATATCAAAGTACAGATAAACTTGTCTAAGTTGATTGTCCCTAAGTCAAATAATTTTTATGTCTATCTTATTTTACATGCCAAATTCTTGTGTTTTCCATTAATTAACAATATGTAAGTCAAATTTTATCTAAGTCAATATTTCAATGCCATTTATTGGATTCGACTTAAGTTCAACTGTAGTCAAGAATAAAATTTTAATGAAGCACAAAACAAAAAGAATTACTTATACAAATGTACGTAATATGGGGACACTAACCAAATAAGTGAACAATGTAAATAATAATATAGCATTGAACTCACCACAATTACATCTTCTTTTGCTGCATCCACTACACTAGAGAAAATATTGGGAATGACAGATCTTGTAGCAGTTACTGCAAATGTAGAGAAAAGCTATGTACCCCTGTAATTTCAAGTTACGTGTCGATATAATTTTAATTTAATTGCATTTTACATATAACATTAATGACATTTCCAATATAATTTTTAAATTTGAATGATAAAGGTGCAACACAGGGGTACAATCTGTCATGGGGACACTTAATTAGACGTTGATGTGATGAATAGTACACACCCCCCCCCTCCCCGTATATTATATAATGGTTCGATTCACTTCCAATTCTTTTTATTCAATGTTAGATATAGTCTCCTTGAAGATTGGTGCCCTGTATTTTATCTAACATATCAGGTGTCCCATGAAGTATTGTACCCTGTATTTTTTTTTATATTAATGATAATGATTTGATAACAATAAAAATACAATAATTAAACATAATGTGAATAACATTTAATATTTGGCATATATGTTGAATTTTTAAAAAAATGAACATGGGTACGTTCTGTCTGGGGAACCTAACATTTTAGACGTCCCGTGAATGATACCCCTGCATATTATGTAAAGCATTAATAGTATTTCCAATTTCCTTTACTTCAAGTTAGATATAATGTTAATGAAAAAGCGACATAGGCATCTCCCCCCCCCCCTTCCCGTTAGAGGAAATTTGTCTTTTCTAGACGACTGAAAATAACCTGATGCATTTTGGCGATCAATTTTTATTTTTTATTTATTTATTTATTTTTTTACCACCCCTCCCCCTTAAATCCACCTCTGCTATTTAAAATCACAATATTAAAATTGATCTAAATTTGATTTAAATGTATTAAATATAATGTACATTGTAGTCGATCTATAGCAAAAATTTTAAGGGCCTGTTATTGCTAAATCCGTGGCTCGCTTTAATTAGAATGAATTAAGTTACATAGTATAGGTAACAGAAACTGGCGTTAAAACAAACCCATGAAAACTTTAATTAATACTTTTTATCTAAACTTTCGAAATTTGCCTCTGAATGTTATTGTCGCAGTACTTAAAGTAATAAATCAATGTTGCTATAGTATCAGAATTATCTTCTTCATTCTCATATGCAACCCGAACTCCAGAGTAACTTCGAAGAAGTCTCTGCAAAACTTGCTTGAAATTGGAGGTGCTATCTGACCCGAATTATCACATCGAGCATAAATGGCGCTCTACATAAAGAACACTGCGGCACCTAGGGTTATACCAGGGAGTTGTTAATTAGTTCTAATTAACAACTCCCTGGTTATACAATTCAAGTGGGCAATAATAAATTGATTAAAGTACAGTATTTAATTTATATTCAAAAGAAATTCAAAAGAGATAGAACCTCCACTAGTAAGATGGAACATACAAAGACACACAATATGGTCAAACTTGCAATGAACTGTCTTCATAAAGCTTAAACGACTATAAACCTTATGAACAATATATTTCATCCGAACAATTTAATTTATTAAATGTAACTGTTATCTTTTAAATAAACTCTCTTACGTCAAATCGGCTGAATCGGGGAACATAGATTAAGTGTTTAGTGCAAGTACAAACAAAGGTACAAGATTAGAATCAAATATAGAATTTAAGCTAAAACAAAAACAAAATATCCAAAACAAATCTACGTTATATTAGACCTATCAGGAACTCCCTGGACCTATATTGAAAAAAAATGTAAACTTTTCAAAAATTCGGCCAAATATAGTTTGGCCGTGACTTTCCAAATGCTACGGCCAGACAAATTTTATACGGCCAGATTTGAGGAATCTGGCCGTCAAAAAGGCCAAATGGCAACCCTGGTTAGATAGGCCTAGGCCATGAACAGGGTTGCCAGATAGTCGACAGGCTTCACGGCCAAACACACGCCATCTCACGTCCAAATTCGGCCAAACTTTTTTTCGATATCGGCCAAAATTCGGCCAGATTTTCATCCGATTAGAAGACAACAGTGGGTACATATTCATTTGAAATACTACAAAAATTACACGAAAATAAGCGATCATTCGTTTGGAATTGAAGGAATTAAAATGATATACACTGAACCATGTTAAACTATCACTGTTTTTCTTTTAATTAATCTATCACCATAAAATACATGCCCAGACCAATCATAATATTTAAGAGCCTATGTTCTTTAGTTGCTGGCATGTAGGCCAATTCAGGGGCGAATCTAGAGATGTCCGAAAGGGGAGGAGCCGGGGACGAAAAAGGGGAGGGGAGGGGGAGAAAGTGGATCCGATCAAGATAACACCATCTTAGAGGAAATTTTTGTTTTTTCCCGAATAACCTGATTCGTTTGGGCGATCAATTCTTTCTTGTTTTCCCCCCCCCCCCCCCCCCTAAATAAATCCGCTATTTAAAATCACATTATTAAGTTTGATCTAAATTTGATTTAAATGAATTAAATATTAAGATACATTGTAGTCGATCTATAGCAAAAATTTTAAGGGCCTGTTATTGTCAAATCCGTGGCTCTCTTTAATTAAAATGAATTAAGTGACATAGTTAGGTAACACAAACTGGCGTTAAAACAACACAATTTAATATTTCATTAACTTTTTCTAAATTCGCATCTGAATGTTATTGTCGCAGCACTTAAAGCAATAAATCAATGTTGCTATCATCATTATCTTCATTCTCATATGCAACCAGCTAACTTCAGAGTAACTTCGAAGTCTCTGCAACACAATTGCTTGAAATTGGAGGTGCCATCGGACCCGATGATCACAACGAGCATTTATATATGACGCTCTACATAAAGAATACTGCAGCACCTAGAGCTATATAATTCAAGTGGGCAATAATTTAATTAAAGTACAGTATTTAATTTATATACAAAAGAAATCCAAAAGAGATAGAACTCCACTTGGATGGAACATACAAAGACACACGTCACAGTATATGGTACAAACTTGCATTGAACTGTCTTCATAAAGCTTAAACGAGGATAAACTTCAAACAAAATGTATATTTCATCTAAACAATTTACATTATTAAATGTAACTGTTATTTTTAAAATAAACTCTCTTACGTCAAATCGGCTAAAGGGGGAACATAGATTAAGTGTTTAGTGCAAGTACAACCAAAGGTACACGATTGAATCGAATATAGAATTTAAGCTAACAAAAACAACATATCCAAAACAAATCTACGTTATATTAGGCCTATATTGAAAAAAAAATGTAAACTTTCAAAAATCCGGCCAAATTCGGCCAAATATAGTTTGGCCGTGACTTTTCAAACGTTACGGCCAGGCAATTTTTTTATACGGCCAGATTTGAGGAATCTGGCCGTCAAAAAGGCCAAATGGCAACCCTGGCCATGAACATCGCGACGAAGGGGACGCCGTATATTATGGGCGGTCGTTATGTAAATTAGTTAAAATGATAGACATGGGGACACCTAGAATTTTAGAACAACGGAACACTTCCCGACGGCCCTATTTACGCTATGGGAAAGGAATGACATTTGACTATCTCACTCAGCGTGATATACGGATTACAAACGGGGATCAATATCGGTTTGTGACTCTACAAATCTGAACAAACGAGTAAACCAATATCTAGTGAGACACCATCTCTTGCAATAACTACAGTGAAACTACAAAATGGAGAAAGATCCTAGTAAGTAACTGTTAATATTATTACTGTATTATAAATAAAAAGAGCAATCACAGGGCAGGTACAGTAGGCATAGGCCGCGCCCTAGCATAGCCCCTTTGTTTTTTTTATTTTTTTTTAATGAGATGCGAAATTATGGACCGCGGCCTGTGCTTCCTTTATCTGAAGTGGGTCAACCTTCAAACATGAAGAGGGCCTATTTATGGCTTGCAATGATGTGTCCATGTATAAATCATTCATACGTTTGCATGCGTGGTCAATGGATACTGACCCGCAAGTTTAAAGCAATGATGGTCATTGCTAATTTTATTATTATTATTATTGGAAGCAGGCCCGTAGCCAGGGGGTTTTTAGGGGTTCGGGCGATCCCCTTTTTCAGCGAACCCCTTTTGCCAGCGAGTCCCCTTAGCCAGAAAACGATCCCCGTTTCCAAAATAGTGCAATTTATTACAAAATGGGAGCATTTTTGGCACTGTTTATTTGTCGCTATCGATCGTAGTTCGATCGTGTAGAAATCAAAACCATGTCAAAACAAAGCTGCAGCCAGCTGAATGACGTAACCAGCAAGACTTCAAAATGAATATTAATGAGAGGTTTGTTGCCTATGCTATTTGACCAATTGCGTGCTCCGGAGTTTATTTACTTTGGCACGACGTCATCACAAAAGTTTGGGCGCTCGACATTTTTCATTTCTCTGGGATCGAGGACATGCGACACGCCAAAAATAGCCTAGGAGGAGGATGAAGCGCCGAGAAAAGATAACCGATTTTTTTGCTTCAAGGCCAGCAACAAAGAAAATTCACCCTTGTTTTCACCACATGCTCATGATACTGCCTGGCGGCGGGACCGGTGTACTTTTTCGGGCTAGGCCTAGGTCTAGCGTTGCTAGGTAGGGTAACCAGGGTCGTCGTAGCCTATTATTTGCGAACGATTTTATTATTTATTTTGTAATCGAGCTAGCATAGGCCAGGGCCTAGCTAGGCTAGCAAGGAAATAATACAATTGGTAATGTTTTACGTTTCGTCAGAATTAACTGACATTATTCGTCTCTTTTTATAGGCTAGGCCTAGCCTATAGATAGGGCCTAGGCTAGGACTAGGTTTACATTCAGTTCAGTTGTATTATTGATTAATCAGTAAACATGCCCTCTTGATGAGTCTCGGACTGGGATTTTCAATGTTCTTTCTTCCTTTTTTTTGTGAAAAGTTGAAATTTGTATTTTATTTTTAATATTGTTACTAAATATCAAGGTTATTTTGTTGTATTTTATTAGGCATAGGTTTATTGAGGAATGTATTTTATATGTAAATGATGATAATGATGATAAAGAAATTATGTAAAATTGTTTGAATAAAGGTGGGTGTTTCCCACGAAAGATAAAAAAAAGTCTCTCAGACTGTTTTGTAATAGCCTAAAGTACTGCTCTACTGGGATCTAGGCTAAGGCTAGGCATAGGCTAGTACCACAGTAGGATAGAAGCTTCCATTGATTAAATAAGCTATTTGTTTATTTAAAAAGCTGAAATGAACATCTCCGCCCTCCTTCGTATTGTGCAAATTCAAAGAAACAATAGACATCCCTTGCTTGCATTCTTGTCCTTTATTCATTCGAACTTAACATTTATAAGTTATTTTGGTAAAAAAGTAAAATGTAGGGCTGTCAGTTCCTATTGTTTCTTCATTTCTGCAATAAATAAGATATTATTTGCAATATCTCTCTTTTAAGCAAAGATCTTTTACATACCTCCATATTTTAATACCGTACTCGCGCGAATAAGCGCCCCGTTTGAATAAGCGCCCCTCCTAATGTGAAAATTTCCTTAAGCGCCCCGTTTGGATAAGCGCACACTTCTAATTTGAATAAGCGCCCCCTAATAAAAATAATTTCATAAGATATTCTTTTTAGCAAGTCAATAATCCAATCAATCATGGAACTGCGGTTGTTGGCATGATTTGAGCTGCAGAGTGGAAACATATTCTTCATAGGTCAATATCAAAATGAGTTTATTATATGTCTATGCCTAGTCTTACTCCTCTTTTTCTTTTTCCGACCTTTAGCACATTCTCATCGAAGTTTTCAAGAAAAAATACAATGATCCTGCTAATCTCAATCGGCCGATGGCCAACAAGCTAACCCCTACCCACCATCACTAATTGCATCTGCTATTTGACTAGTCACTATTATGACATTCACGCATTCTTGTCATGAGCCATGTTCTCTGGACGATTATTTTTTCCGCCTAACCACCATTCGTAATGTCCTTAAATAATCTCTTTTCATTCAAAAAGTGCCTCTTGAATTTAATAATTTCCCGTAAGAACCCCTCAATTTTCATTTATTTCCATAAGCGCCCCCTGAATTTCCACTCTGTTTTCACAAGCGCCCCGTTCGAATAAGCGCCCCGTTTGAATAAGCGCCCATGAGAAAGTGCAAAAAATATTTTAAGCGCCCATGCGCTTATTCGCGCGAGTACGGTATTGGTATTTAGCGATCTCATAATGTGCAAGGTCTGTGCCGTAGTCACCTAGTGGGTATTGCTAATTTTATCCCAGTTATTTTTAGAGATAACATTACATAGTAGCATTAAAATGTTAAGCATTGCTTTTTAATTTAAAAAAAAAGAGTTTGTTTCGCAATAAACATTTACGTTCTAAATCCTGTATTGGAAAAAGTAGTCTTCTTATCTTATTTTTAAAATTGTGTAAGAAGTATTTAAATATACAAGAACATGCATTTAAATGACATGTACATGCTTTTAAAATCGTATAAATGCTCTGGCTTCGGGGGCTTTACCCTTGACCCCACCGGGGCCCTTTGGCGGGCCCCTGGACCCCACGCTCAGAACCCCCCCTCCCCTTGAAGCATGCTGGCTACGGGCCTGGGAAGTGCCAGTGGATATATTTATGTCACCTTAATAAAAACAAATCAGTAAAACGATATATTTACGTGAAATATGTAATGCATCGCATCGTTAATAAACTTGCATTCAGTCATGTAAATTTATCAATTCAGGTAAAATGTATGTTAAAATGTACCTCTAAGGCCACGTGAAATAAAATAATTGGTTAGCATCCTTTTGGTATCAAATTTCATGGTAGGATTGGATACAAGAAATTATGTAATTCATCTATAGCAAGCAGATAAACTTTGCCAATATATATTTTATTATTTTTCCATCCATATTTAGTCTATCTTTAACATTTTATTTCGTCAAATATTTCACACAGCAGAATAGTGACTGGAGATCCAACGAAGTCAGGCTCCTTTGTACCATGTTACAGACCGGCCCCCTAGGGCGATCGTTAAGCTAATTGATTCGCACATTAAATTCTTGTTAACATAATTACTTCAAGTTGTACCCCTACCAATAAAATGACGCACTCCTGCCATAATAGATCGTCACACAGTAGACCGCTCATTGAAGGTCATCCGAGTTTGCTTAGAATTTACAGTAAAGGAATGAAGCAAAGAAGCTCATTTTTCTATTAAAAGTTAACGGAAATAATGCTAACATTAGTGTGTTTTTTCTTTAAGTGTCGATGTAAAGTAGTTATCTAGGAATACTGGCCTAGGCTAGGCCCTAGTCCTAAAATATTATGGAGACGATATGCAGCCAACGTCTCTGGCGACAATGCAAATGTCGCCAGGGAGCTGTCATGTTTTACCCATTCTGAAATCTGTATTTTTTAACTTTAAAGAGTTGACTAGTCCTATTCTACAAATTCATAAACTTCTTAACGAAAAATGGCTGCCTTTCAATTATGCTCCTGTCGGATACTGTTAGTTTGTCATTACTGTACTTGTCTTACAAGAACTTTTCGGTACTCGTTGCGGCACGACGAACACCAAAAAGAAGTAGAACTGTATACGATACTACAAGAATTATGACACAAATTCCAATTCAGAGAATTATACCATCAATAAAGAATAGTGATTTATTATTTTGAATGCGCATTATCTTGTATCTTCTTCATTTTCCAAAATGTTTAGAAGTGGTTTTGACGAAAAAGAATTTTACATTAAATGAAAGAATGAAACCCCTAAATCGGTATATTTTTTTACCCCTTGAAACACTTTCGAAAAATTTTAACGGACGCCTGACCATGCCCACTTAGTTCTCATCGGGGACCTCCCCCTCCGCCCACATTGTACCGTTCCACTCACTTCCCCTTCCCCACTCCAGATTTCATACGCTGGCGCCGCCCCTGTTAATTAACACATTGCATATACAAATCGGGTTAAATTATTAGATTTATCCGCACATAACAGTGCATGAGGGGTGGGGTGTGGTGGTGGAAGGGGTTGAGGTGTTTTGAGATAAACATCTTGCGCATATGTCACCCCTTTGGACAATTATTGTTTGGAAGTGGTAAAATGTAAAATAGAATCCATCGTTAAAATAATATCTAAGAAATAAGTAATTACGTGAAACTATCATATTTCATGTTTATTTTTTAATAAAGATACTGATAATCATTATATCATATCATTTCTTATGTATTTTTCTGTTTATCAGTTATTCATTCCGTCAATAACGCCATACTTTTGTCATATTATTTAGTTGGATTGCTTAATACACTGCACTAATATTCATCTGAAAATAATAAAGTAAAGCATTAAAACTAATTTTATAAACATTTAATTAAAAGAGGAACACCAGGAAATATAAAAAAGCATAACACACACACACCCACTCACTCCTTATCATTAAATCAGGATTAATCTAACTCCCTGATCGAACCCTGAAAACTATACATGTAAAACATAGGCCTATGCCACTAAACAGGAACTATCGCCAACAAAAACCATGTTCAATGACGTCCCCACCTGCCAAATCATCGAATTTATAATGAGGTTTTCTCTACAAACACGCATGGGCACAGTTTATCGTTGAGTACCAGGAGTACGAACACATGTTTACGCACCAATAAAACCAGGTTTCATCGATAGGAACCGTTAGGAAAAGTGTTTCAATCTTGCTTAAAAATCATCTAATATTATAGACATTATAAATGATAGCTATATTTTCGTATGAAAACGAAAAATTATCGGATTTTTTTGCTTTTTTCGGTGAAATATAGGCCGCGAAATGCCGATCAACAGAGCATCCGAAGAACAATAGTTGAACTATGAACTTTAAACTGCGCATAGATTTTTTCTATTGGAGTAACATCGGACACTTGGTTTGTTATTCATGTCCTCGCCTTCGACTGCGGTGCTGAGCTGTTGAAGCCGGTCTGTATGATAGTACATCAAAGGCCTCGTTATCGCTCGTAAATGGCCTTCGTAATTGGCGGTTCGTTTGTTTTAACAACTCCCTGCACACAGGTAAGCGAACACGCCATAGTTTTAAACTGATGGGCGCAGCCATGTTTGTTGTCTTGTCTTGTCTCTGGTCACCATCAGAGCATTCCTCCTTGTTTCTTTTTCGCGCTGTGGATGTCTACTTCCAAAGTGATGAAAATACCAACGCGCTGATTGGTCAACCTGGCTTTATCTCTAATGAACGCACTACAAAGCATGACGTAAACATTGGATCGGATCAGAGACAGGGCTAGTTAGGCCTGGTAGCCGATCATTTCGGTCGCGCTTCGTTTCGGTCGTGCCTCATTTCGGTCGTGGTTTATTTCGAACAAATATATGGAGCGCCGAAGCAGTTGCGAAAACGCAAAATTTAATATGCCTAGGCCCTATATACTGTAATATTATAATTAGTTCGTCAATCGGTTTATCATAGGCCTAAGTATTTTTTTTTTATTTCCGTTTTGCTATCTTTCTACTAACATATTTTCTTTCTTTCATTTACGGTGATATATTCATGATTAAAACATGATCATATGATTGAAACAATGGAGTTTAGTATGTGCTTATAATTTAACAGTTATGGTCAATAAACTGTATCTTTGATTTTAATTGGATGAATTGAATGTTGTTACCATCTGAAATCTATTTCATAATTTAGTTAAAACAATAATCATTACATTATTTAATCCGATGTTTCTATACAATAAATTTATTTATTTTTCTTGCATCTTCCAGAGTTTGGATGAAACATACCAAAAAATTGAGGGAAACACAATTAAAGAAATAAACGAATAATACACACATTATCATTCTTCACTTGAAATCTTTAGTTTTCTTTGATGTCCCTGCGCATTTCATAAATATGCATATTTCCTTTACAATATTATTATAACATGATCAGAACATTTATGGTAAATGGAAACGTAACAGACAAGAAAAAAAAAAACGTATACGAAACTAATCTATTGACCAAACTTATTCCATAGATTTTTATTTGATTTAAGCATTAATAAAAAATTATATCAATATATCGCAACAAACAATAAAAAAACGTATCTCAAACTCGGTCAACTTCGTAACATCTGCGTTGTTTCTGTAAAAAAAGAAAAATAGCACCAAGTGATATGATACAGTAATATAGTAACAATAATAAACTTTAATACTAATATAAAAATAATTGTTAATAAACTAATGTTACAGTAATTTAATTAATGAGTTGGCTGGTTTTTCCTGATAAAAAGTTTAATTTTTATAAATATTTGTTATGTAGTAGGAAGCGTAGAATCGATAACAAAACAAAAAAACCCCATCCGATAAAAGAGTGAAATGGTACTAGGAATGCAACAAACCTATAAATACCATAATATTAATTGAAATTTAGTTTAGTAATAATAATAGTATTCAATTTAAGTAGCCTATGTTGTTACTTAGTAGAAAGACAACAAAACATAAATAAAAAAAAGTATGATAAACCGATTGACGAACTCACAATGATAATTAGGCCTAGTTATATTAAATTTGGCGTTTTCGCAACTCCATTGGCGCTCCATATATTTGTTGAAAACAAACCGCGACCGAAACGAGGCGCGACCGAAACATTTAAAATCACGAAAGCATTGAAAGTTAAAATAAATGTTATTATTGTATTGTTATTATTGTCATTATAAAAATAAAAAGTTTAAATAAATTAATATGATGGAGATTTGGGTGGTGACTACCAAGAAATGGTTTATTTATAATCAATAACAGCATACAGTAACTGTAAATCCATTCTAAAACACTTGGAATAAAACAATCATACATTTACTAATCATTTCTTAATTTCCTTCTAAATAGTGATATGTAAAGAACACTTAAAATGACAGTCTTTAATTTGAGTGATTATAATTAGAAACCAAAGCTGATAAAGACCACTAATAAAGACCACTAATAAAGACCACTAAAATCCTGGTTCCCAATTAAGTGGTCTTAATTGGAGGGAGACCTGTATAGTGATATTGGATTGGTACAATTATATGCACAAATTGATGATATAATAATAATAAGCAATAATTTTAAGTGTAACAAGAATAATTTTATAAAGGCTAATGAATGATCGTATTTTGGTATCTGACGACCAATACCTTGAAATTTTGATGATGAGAGCATTTTAGAGTCACATTGAGAGATAGATAAATATCTGGATGTATTTAAATTCTACAATTTTTTTATTTATGAAGGTTATATTATAACCCTTGTTAATTATTCAGATACAGAATTTAGGAAAAGACACCACAGTTCACTGTAAAAACAAATCACCATTAAACAGAATTCATCCTGATAAAACAATGCATTACAGACTTGAAATAATAATAATAATAATAATGGCATCTTGTAAGGTGCATGTATCCATCTCAGAGAGCTGCTCACAGCGCCATCTTGCAAAGAGAAACAGCCTTTTCTGCATTTCATTTATTATATTTATAAACGTTATTTAATTTTATATAATATACAAGAGATGCATACAAAATGATAATAGGTTGATGAATTTTTAATACTCTTGCACTTTTAATGCTCTGCCATTGATGAGACCACGCTGTCATATAAATTGTACTGGCTCCCAGTCACACACCGAAATTAATTATTTCAGATTCAACAGTTCAACATAATTGTTATAAAGACATGCTATTGACGTATTGATTTAATCATAGGGAAGAGTAGAATTCGTTAAGCCATGTTAAGTTGAGCTTAATAATAACGATTTTTAAAGTGTAAACATCACCACCAGCTTGAACATAAAATTATTATACTGGGTTACAAATCAATTATTCTAAACCTGGACTTGTTAATATCTTTGTACATTAATAAAGCATATTTAAATAATAATAGAAATTTAGAACCTGAAACTTGTTGCTTCATTTGTACATTGCGTCTCTAAACAATAATTTCCAGAAAGGCTGCATGGATTGCAATATGTTTTTCTTCAATGTTTTTTTACATGTTTTTGGAGAAGCTTTTTTAACTACCAAAAATATTTTAATCATAATTTCCAATTGCTTAAATTACATGTATTACATCAACTGTATTGAGCAAAAGTTTTTTTTTTTAAAGACAATCAAAGCCCTAAGTAATATTGCCATTTTCATCGGTTAACTACCCTTTTAATGTATTGTTATATTAATATTGTGTTCTTCCACATTTTGTGACCATTGAAATTTGTACCTAAAACAAAATTTTGAACATCTAAATTAAGTAATTAATAGGCAAAGACCTGGTTAAAGTATGCGACTCTTTGGATAGATAACTAACCATTATAGGTTTTTAGAGTTAAGCATAACGCATTACCCATGCACTACATTATAGCGAGACAAGCTAGAGCAGCAGAATAGCAAAATGATGGAATTTTTAATCACCTAAACTTTTTTTTTTTGCACAAATTCTGCATGCATACAGCATGGATTTAAATTTACTCCTTGATGTTCGTTTTTTTTTAATTGGACATGCTTACTGCAAAAGTGGTGGCGCTGCTTGAAAGGAAAGGGTGGAGTGGGGAGGGAGTGTGGAGCTACATCCTCAACCCCCTCCCCCCTTAATAGGAGAAAAACCACAATTCGTCAGGGAGACAAAACAAATTATAATTATAGATTCTAAAATCGATTAACTAAGCCTTTAAAACCCCTAAATTGTAATATTTTCGGAGGGGAAGAGCTGTTTCCCCTGGACCACTTTAGTGATGACTGACCACGCCTACGTTTTTTCATATATATATATATTGCAGTATGCAAAGTGTAATTGGCAATGTTTAACAGTAACAGACTTCATTAGAGTGTTGTATCTAGCTTACGGGATTGTTCCCGCATGCTATCCGATATCATTATGGAGCGTGTGTACTATTTACATCAGATTGAAGAGTATAAATATATGACAAAACTGATTGAATGTTGAAATGAAATAGGCCGTGTATAGGAAAATGCAAGCAATGCCAAACAGCAAATCACAAATTGACCATTTGTTTGTCTGGCTAACAGTATAATTCCACGGTCAAACCTACATGAACTCTAAAAAAAAATATTGAAAATATGTCTCATAAATATCAATCAATAATTTTTGTTACTTGGCCTAATTAAAATATTAATATTTTGATACTATCAATGTCATTTCTTTTGACAGATGGACCACCTGCAGCAGACTGTCCGTCACTAAATTATCAGCAACAGGTATGTATTTATTTGACATTACACGTACAGTACATTAAAGTACATTATAATTCAGTGGTGATGCCGTCACTTTTATTTGCATTGAATTTTCCTATCCCTGCTGATCACTAATCTATATAGTAGTGCCTCCGATTTTTTTACGTCTCATGTTCAAAAAAGCTCAAAGCTAGGGCGATTTTACTTCAGTACAACACTATGTAATATTTTGTTGCTAGGACAAGCTATGAACGCCCACAGGGAACCTTACAAATCTCGCTCTAAAACAAATGCCTAGAAAGGCATATGGTTATGAGAAACAAGGTGATTTAAATGGCGTTGATCTGTTGTGGAAAGTGGGGGGTGGGGGACGAATTGCAAAATAAGAAAGTCTTGACCACACCTTGGTTGGGGGCCTGGGGAGCGTTAAGGGCCCCGGTGGGTGTCCAGGTGTCATCTATAGCCTTTTATAAGTCGTATTTAATTTTAAAGAATGCAATTAAAATTTATTTGCATGCACACTACATTTTCAAAATACTATACAGTGGTGGATCAGAAATTAGAAATAGAGGGGGGGGGGGGGCCGCCCCGGGGGGGGGCCGGCCCAGGGAGGGAGTTTTACAGATGGAGCGTAGACCACCTCTACCCCACCATGATTAGGGCTGAGATAAGAAAATTTATGATTATGGCACCTCTAGTTGGCCAGAAATCGTACTCTGAACTTAATTAGTAATTTTCTTTCCTCTCCACTTTAAAATTTTGAAAAAATTAGGGAGGGTGGGCAGGCTGGGCCCCTTTGAATCTGCCACTGAAATACTCACCATAATTTTTTTTTTTCAATTTATCCTCTAAATCAGAACCATACTTACATATTTCGTACGGCTATATAACATTCAATTGACTAACCATAATTTTTTGAAATTAGGAAAAACAGGAATCTTATGTATGCAGATAATATTAAACACTGTACTTTATACGGGTCTTTATAATATACAAAAGGCCGAGAATAAATCGTTTATAGTAGAAATTTTGAGTTTGTAAATATGTTAGCCTAATTATAGTCTTATCCACTTCCAAATTCAACAACAGGTACATTGTTTTCATAATAAGTTTAGCCTCTGATAACTGTTGCACCTATAAAATCGATGGAGTGGTTACTGCGATGGTTACGAAATGTACAAACAATTGCGTTTTTACTCAGTATTGGTCCAGGCAATGCGCACTGCACTTGGAACAGAGCATTAGTGAATAGACAAAATTTATAACAGTCATATGTAAGGGTTGTTGTTCTTTCTACTCGCTTTGAAATGTTAAGGTTTAACTATAGAAGATTGTGAAAAGTGGTGGGGGGGGGGGAAACTGATATGATGTACCCCCCTACTTTGAAAAAAGGGGACGTGTGTCATTATTTCCTTAAAAAATCGCCTTCAGCCCTGAATAATTACTCCTTCGGCTTCTATTTCCTATGGTGTACTCAAAACCTGACTATAATTACTTAAGTAAGTTATTATTAGTTATTAAGTATTATTTCCATCTTCATAGACTGAAATGATTTTATCAAAGCTGAATATAAAATAATTAATGTTTGGTAATGTGAAAGAATGTCTATTCAATGAGGCATAAGCATCCAATTTTCCAACTCATTTTCCTAATAATAAAGATCATTGTTTGTTTTGTACTGTAATGTTCTGATTGAAGACTCATATAAAGACGGTGTATATCGTTTGCCATGCATCTATCAAGTGATTTATTCAATACAGTATCGTCAACATATTTTACATAGGTGGCGCTATATACATAATACATCACATGCCCCTTTTACAGTTTGCATAATTATTTATGTACGTATTTGTAGCTAATGTATTCCCATAAAAGTTATTGCGGTGTTGGCGTTTTTAAAATTTTTTTTATTCCTTTCTAATGACTACTTACTAGAGTATCTATTCACTAACATCTTATTTACAGTCTGTGCGTTTACATATCTAATTTGGTTGCTGGTTTCGAAATTCTACCACTACTAGTGGTTACACTCTGTTTAACCTTTGTTGTTTCATATTTCTTATTGTTGACTTTCTCCTCACCATGACTACTACCCTGGGCAACGAGTTGGCTTTCCTCTCTGTTTTCTGGAATATCAGGTCTAGTTCATAATCAGTGAATTGTTTATTTTCCTTCGAACAGTACATGTCGAAGAAAGATCTTTTTCAATCTTACTTTACTTTTATCCGTTAGTTTCATTGTCCCTTAACCTTTCTGCATTAGTTCTAGCATTGTATATGGGAGTATGTTAACTTCTGCACCTGTGTCTAGTTTGAAAGTCACTGGGAATTTGTCTGGTCCCACAGAACAGTCTTGTTGTCATTCTTTGCGTACTGTGTCTATGCTAACACCATTTATTTTGAAAAGTTGAAGGTCGTAATCGCTCGTTTCTTCTTTCCGTGTTATGGATTCCGAATTTACTTGCCTTACAGCTTTTTTTGGTCGCCTTTGATTTGGCTGAGACGTCCATTTCTGGGTTCGTGGTTGTTTTGTCTCTCTTTGCTTTTTAAAACACATTTTGGACCAATGTCCCTGTTGGTTACAATAATGACAGGATTCGTTCACCGCTGGACATGGTTCCTTCCAGTGGTTTCTGCCGCATCTTAAGCAATGCCCAATGCTTTTGTGTTGTAGTGACTTGTTGGGGTTGTTCGGTTTGGGCTTATCCCTAGACGTATATCGTTTTGATCTAATGGCGTTAACCATGGGGGATGTTGTTGCCTCACCAATATTGGTCATTTGGCGTTTTGTTCCTTCATACGTCCTAACTATGTTAATCGCGTCATCTTTTCGTCCTTAGCAATTAGCTTGTGACGAATGTTATCATTGTATAAGCCTGCTATTAGTGTGTCTAATAACTGTTCATCTTTGTGTACTTACATTGTTCCAATATAATCTTCGCTCGTGTTATAAAAGCATCAACTGTTTCCGTTTCCCCTTGTTTCAATGCTCGCAACTGAAAACGTGCGACACAAAAATTTGATTTTGGCTTGGCGTATGCTTCATAGTGTTCCCAATGTACTTTTAAAAGTTTTGCATCGTCCTCTGATAAATTCCAGCCATCTCTGATGTCTGGTCCCAAGTCTCCTACCCACAGTAGCAAATATTGTTAAATATCGGTTAGTTGTTGGTGGGGGTGTTTGCCTATTATATTTTTCTTCTGTGTTGAATCTAACTACTGACTACTAACTACTGACTACTGATCACTGGTTACTGACTCAGTGATATGGGGGTGTTTGTCTATTATACTTTAGGTAATGGGGGTATGTCTCAAGTAAGCCACCCCATAATTTTAGAGTTTCTGATTGGATCATAGAGAAATTCTTTCTCTATGATTTAGTAACTTGTTTACCAAAAAACTGCTAATTAAGATGTATCACAAACTTCAGAACTTAGGCTCAAAACTGACAATCATAGATTCATAGTGTGAGAAAGGCCAAGTCCAACTGACTAGGGTAAAGTTATACAAGTCCAGTTATATTATTAAATTATCTGTATACTCAAGTTGACCATTAAAACTGTCAAACCAATTTAAGGCATTTATCAGGTGAAGGGTATCGATTCCAATGGTTATGCAAGTTAATACCATTAAACCTTAATACTACATTACAATATTGTACTTTTATACTTTCTTCTTTTTCAGAGAGAGGACCGTCAAAAATCAGGTTGGACGCTCTCCGAAACTCGTGCAATGCTTCCGGTAGGTTTTGGGATTTCCAATCAATTTTTGGGATGGGCACTCCAGTTAATTCTGCCATTTTCAGTGTTTAGATGACGTACCTCTACAACAACTTGTTGTCTATATGCTTCTGGGTTCTTCTGACACCATGTAATGTCCTGATCGAAGACTCAAATAAAGATGGTGTATATCGTTTGCCGTGCATCTATCAAGTGATTTATTCAATAGAGTATCGTCAACATATTTTACATAGGTGGCGCTATATACATAATACATCACATGTACAACACACCTACTGAGTAGGCATATGCCCCTAGTTGTAGCCTTAAATACACCTGCATACAACTTAGCAACACTGAATCTAGAAAAATACTTCTACTGTGAACTGCAAACATTATTTATTGATAAACATAGATCTGAGAATCTCACTGTTAAAGAAAAATTTATCAAACTATCCTTTTAGTTTCAATATCAAATCTTAATATGTCTATATTACACTCTGTATTTAGGAAAGCATTTAATACTAGATTTGATAAAAATTGAATAAGTGTTGTTAAGTGGCCCTTATTCTTGTCCTGTTTACTATAGCAACTAGTTTTATTCATTATGTTTTGTAAAGAGCCGTTGTAATTTTTCATGATTAATAAAAAGTTGGTGTACCAAAGGACAGGTTGCTTAGGGAGCCTCGCAAAATAAAGCAACGCGTATACCCGTCTACAACGCGTGGTTGGGGATAATCTCTTCGCGTTGCCAACGAGTGGTTCAAGATACTGATCAAAAATGTTGGACGATTCCATTTCGCGAATTAGGGTTCGTTTTCCGATGTTTTTGTTCTACTTGTTTGCGTCGGTTTATCTTGTTATTTTGATGTATTTTAATTTATCGACAAGTCTCTTTTGTATGTTTTGTCATAAGTTTCATTCATTATTATGAATTAATTTTAATACTATATCCTGTCATTTGTTATTGAGCTATTCTGTAAAATTTAAAACCGATATGTCGAATACCAAGACTCGAAACCCACTGAAATTTCCTATACTCTTTTATACTGTATTATAATCAGGCCAAACTCATGTTTTTGCCATGAATATTGACAGGATAAACGCAATTTAATGCCAGTATATTGCTTTTGTCAGAACTATTCATAGGAACATTCCCACGCTCTGCTGTTATGGAAATACAGACTGAATCAAAGTGTACGTGTCATTGATCTTGCTGCCGGCCGAGTTATGCATAGCTCAAACTCTTTGTATTCCGCCCAGTGTTATAACCAGGCCAAACTCATGTTGTTGCCATGAGCATGGAGGAATAAATTCGTAGTGACAGGATAAACGCAATTTAATGCCAGTACCTGCTTTTTCTAGAACTATTTATAGGAACAGTCCCACGGTTCTGCTGCTATGGAAATTCATTGATCTTGCTGCGGGCCGAGTTATGCATTGCCGTACCCTTTGTATGGCGCCCAGTGATAATGACTCGACGTTACCATGAAAAGCATAGAATAAACTAAGAAAATATCAGTCTATGAATTTCTGTGTGCAATTAAATCTTGTATTTATTATTTTCTTTAAGTCTTATTTTCAATTATATTTTATATTTGTTATATATATTTGAAAATGGATTTGGTACGATACAAATAAATTAATTACAATAAAGACAACAAGGAAGTGACAAATAGAAATTAAAAATCAAACAAGAACAGCTCATTCAGTAGAACATAAATTAAAGTTAATTCGTAAACAGATTATTAGTGATCAAGATCTACTGTGTGTGTGTACAACAGTCGCTTGTATATGCTTGTGTGATAATCTGATCTAAACACAATACTTTTAATTGTGGTTTTTTTGGGGTTTTTTTTTTTTCATTTTGCAAGCTGAACAACAATAATTTAGGCCAAAAAATGGCTACCGTATCCGAAAACGCCATTCCTCTACACCCAGGCCCAATGTCTGTTTTCAAAATGACCTACAGAGAATGAATGAAAATAAATGGGGAAAAAATAATGCCACCCTAGCTTAGCCTACTGCACTAAATTCTGATATTCATCATATATGTTGGGTATTTATTGACGGTCAATGTACTTTATTATGAATAGGACTACAAATAGTAGGCCTATTGTACACTTATTTTTGATATAGGCCTACCATAATATATTTTAAATGCAAGGTTATTCCAAACTATTATATCGGAACAAATTATAGACAATAAATCAATGGATAGAAAAAGCAATTTAAAGAATGAAATAATGATAATAACATGTTAAGAGATCGTAATTCATTAAATATCCCATATCCCATTGAGTACAGGACCAGAGTCAAGCGTCTAACTTTTACTTTGATAGAACATAGAGTATGTCAAAATCACAGGCCCTGAACTTCCATCTGGCGATGCAGTACACTGCAAGGAAGACGTTCCAAGTCCACTTGATACGCCGTGGCGTATCAAAAATTGAAAACTACTTTTATACATTACCAGTGCGTTTTATGAAGGAAATTAAAATCCCTGTAGTAAAATAACATAGTCATTTGGTACATTCAAGCGTTTAAAAACGATTTAATGTTTATACATTTTAAATTTAATTATTTTGAAAAATTGTTATAAAATTAATAACCCATATGGAATGGTAGAGTCCATGGTTAATCAACGACGCAACAAAACATGTGCTTCGCTGTTTGAAAAGGGGTGAAAGCAATACATTGAACAGCAATCTAGAGAAAACACGGAGAAAACATTATATTAAAGTATACAATACAATACCTTTTTTAAAGAGCCTGATATATATAATAAATATATATTCTTTTACACTAAACTTCGAGATTAATCAACGTTGAAATAGAATAGAGTCTAGGTTTGTGCCGCATCAAAACATGTGTTTCATCGGTAGAAAGGGGTGAGAGCAGTGCATGTAACTGCTAGCTGGAGAAAATTGTTTTTGCTTTTTTTGAAACATTTCTCGTCACATACAATGGATATACTGTTCCACCAAAGTTTAATCAATATTAAAATAGATAACATATAGGCCTAGGACAACTGTTCACATTTATATCAGATAAAGGAAGTGTACCCTATTTACGTACATGATCGAATGTAGGCCTATACTGTAGACCGATATTTGTCTGTCGTCCTAGACAGTTTTATTTAATGATCTTAATTAATAATAAAATGATATAAGAAATTATAATTTTAAAGACTAACTGTAAAAAAGATATAATTAGGCCTAACAAAAATTCATAAAAATTGCCTGTTTTCGATTTTTAATTTTACTCCGTAATTTTTCTGAGTAAGCCAAAGCCTGGAGGTATAATATCTATGTCCTAGGCCTCTCCTAGTTTTATATTTCTGCTGTCTGTTGGTTTTGATCGTAACGGTGACGATAATCTCGATAAATTATTAATGTAATTCTCAGAAATATAACGTGAGCTTGCTTTACTTCCAATAGGGTTTATTTTTATACGAGACGTTTTTGTTTGTGTTAATTTGGTTTTTACACTATGCTTGTTATCAATTCCCCACTTCGAAGTGGAGTAGCCCAGGAAAATAATCCCAACGCGTGGCCAACTATGGGATTAATCTGCCTTTAATCGCATCACGTATACGCGTTGCTTTATTTTGTGAGGCTCCCTTATAAAAATACATTGGATTGGATTGGATTTATTCGGTGTAAATACCAAGGATAGCCCACGAAAGTCTAGAAGAAGACTTATTTCCAGTGGGATCCTTATGGTGGTGATTGGGCAGTACACCGGGAGACAATCCCCTACTCTTTTCTGAAGAGTGTACTGCGTTCTTTAACGTGCACATTGGCCATAAATGCACATGAGACCAACGGCTTAAACGTCTCATCCGAAAGACGGTGCGCTATTGTAACTTGTATTTCAGCCCTCCAGCTGAAACACTAGGAGAGACAGCAATGGGAATTGAACCGGGGACCTAGGGATCTCCACGGTTCAGCACACACACATATGCATTACTCTAATTATCATAAACCGTGGTAATATATTGGCATAAATTTTACTTTTACTCAAAAGGATAAAAAAAAATATGTGGAACACAAACAAATCAAATTTCAGTCTTATGTTACATTATTCATGTTTAGGTATGTCTAAATTCAGTTAAACAAGCAATTTTGTATAATATTTATAAATCTTTATATATAATAAATCAATTTTCTTAACTGAAATTTTGCTGGGGATGGGGCTTTAAGAATAATAAAGTTAAAAGACATTTGTTATTTTGGGACCAGAAAAATGGTTTTTAATTGGAGGTGGTCTTTAGTTAGAGGGGCCTTTAATTAGAAGGAGACCTAATTGTCGTTCTATTCACCATGTTCGGTAAAGAACCTTCGTAATTTTACAAGATTAATGAAAAGTTGGAAGAACAGTGCTTATAAAAATACATTTCACTTTTTCTTTTTTCTAAAATGAAATTTGCAGTATTTGTATGGCATCGGCTTCATGTGCTGCCAAGTTTTGTCTCTTCGTTCTGTTCTCTTCTCTGGGATTCATCAAAAGCTTTTTAACTTTATTTTAGCATGGGTTTAATCAAATATTTGTATTTTGCCAAAGGCAAGTGTTTATAAATAGTTATACAATATGTACCATGCATGCAAGAATATATATTGAACAACATTGCTGCAAAACATCAATCACTTACTGTACCATAACTAAAAAGTATATTAAAATTATTTTAAAAATAAAATCGTAATATAAACTATTGATTTTTTGATCTTTGGAAGCTGTTTTCTCAAAACTTACATGGCTGATATCCAATGAAATAAATATTCATAACTTTGCTATACTCAACCAACTTCCATAAAAAATGCACTGCATTAAAGTAGAATACATGCAGAATCTATAAACAATAAAACTCAATTTTTAATTTTTCCTACAAACGTCTGGTTTTGGTCGAACCAGTCACATATTGTTATTAAGTGCACTTGTCAATTAATAACAAGGCTACCGTAATGCATTCTCAGACAAGGCCTAAAAAAATAAATTGTTTGTTTGCCCTTTAATGCTGAAAATTGTATATGAGGGGCGGACACAAAAAAGTTTTTTTTTCTCTTGTCACCAAAATTAACATATTAAATCGCAATACTTGCAATTAAGCCTGTCTCAGTATTTGTTTTGCAGAGGGTATTCATTAGACTGAATAAAAATAACCCATAATCAATATTTTGCAATGAATTTAGGCAAAGAATGGCAATGCCTTACATTAATAACCAAATTTAGACAACTTTCTTCACATGAAAAATGGAGCGTTACCAAACACGGATCTCTGTGTTTGGCGGGCAGAGAATGACCTAATATTGCTTACAATACAAGGTCTGAATAATGATAAAATATAATGAAAAATAAAAAGTTAAACTGTTATTCGGTCAATGCAACCACTATTATACTATTTAAAAAAAAAAAAGAATAGTCATGCTCCCAATAATGTCTTCTAGTTTATCAATAGTAGAAATTTTAAAAAAAAAGTATAGAGTATCTCTTTCCTTATAAGTATTTTCATTGCATAATGCAATATTGGTTCCATAGCATTATAGAATAATAATAAAATACACTGAAAAATTAAAAGGTATTACTGGTATTTAGTCAGAGCAACCGTTATTATACTCTTCAAAAAAAAATAGTTACACTCCCGATTATGTCTTCTATTGTATCACTTAAACGTTAACAATAGCAATAAAATGGAAAAAGAAAGCTAGGCACATTCTTTAATTGCCTAGGCTAGGCTAAGAAGTAAGTACTTTTTTAGGCCTCGTAGAATCTATGTATAAGGTATAATAAATAGACTACGGTCTCCACATCACCCCGGGCAATAGATTTTACCATTCCCCTCATGAGCACTCAATATTTGTATATTACTCAATTACATGCATTCGGGAAGTAGTATTAGGAATTTTTCAGCAAACTCAAATAAAAAAAAAATGAGAATTTTAAAATTGACTTTATTAAGTCAAGTTTGGTATCATATGAATCCTAAAGAATATATTTTGCAAATTAGTATAGTTGAAAGTGGCAAAAAGAGGATTGACATTTTTTACATTCCTGAAAAATACAATATTTAATTAATACAAACAAAATGTGATATTTTATGTAAACCAGGGCAATTTATAGAATTTAGTAAATTAAATTTTCATAAATTTTCATTTCATGGTCAATGTTTCTTGATGTCACACTGACATAAAAAGTGATTGTTTTCAAGTTAATTTAAATACTTGTGGATAAAATTTAAAAGTGTTCTACTAAGTTCTGAAGAACATCCATACCTACTAAAAAATCATGTTCATATAATTACAAATTCTAATTAACAGAGAAAAAAAATACTTTTATTTTGTCACGCTGTGACGTTTTGGGAATAACAGTATTTTCTATTCACTTATATACTAGAGTATACACTCCACTTTAGGTGCTATACTACTACTACTCTATTCACTTAAGTGCTGTACTACTATAATAGTACTGAAATATAATAAATACATTATTGTGTTTTATAAAATTTAATTATTTTTTTTATAAAAGTTTCTTTTTTTTGTATTAAGGTAATATTTTTATATCCAAATTTGTTGATTGATAATTATTCTGTTTGATTATAAAGTTTAATTTTTTTAGAAAGAAGATCCTATCTAAATAGTGTATTAAAATAGGCCTCAGTACAGCATAGACGTAGAACTACTAATACAGTACGTTTAGTACTAGACTAGGCCCAGCTAGTTGTGTAGTACTATTCTCTTATTACACTTCTAGTTATTTTGGAGATACCTTTGGACCAGGACCCTGTAATATGATGGGAACTAGGTTAGTTAGTGCAGAGCACTATTCCCGGTAGATAATATGCTCCAGTCTGCCAAAATGATAAATTACAGAAAGTACAGTATGTTGTTAAATGCTGATGACTAGTGTCTCATTCCAACACAATATTTCAGACATTAGCTAGAGGCTTGCCACTAACACCCGTTTACGAAGAGGCCTAAGCCCAGTCGCCTATTATTTTTAGAGCTGAACAAACGCGATATTGTACGCATAGCTAAGGCACTACGCGATTTTGGTCAATGTGATATAATCATTATTAATAGCCTACATGGAGAATCGATTTGTTTTTTAATTTTGTTATAAATTTCAAACGTGTTAATTAACAGATATTTACTATCAAATTACCTGAAATTTTGTAATTAATATTTTTATTTTTTTCAATTGCCTGATATTTATGCATTCGTCACACCGTAGCATAGGCATTGCTTTCATTCATGCATGCATACAATGACACTCCACGAGCAGCTCCTGTCGCAAATCTCTATCTAGGAACTCGACTGTGAGATACTGAACACCGCCCTCAGACATGCAGCAAAAATACTGTAATAGGCCTATTAAAATATTCACTATTAAATAATACAAGGTAGTGACAGCCGGACTAACACTTGTTACTTGTTGCTTGTATAGCACTTTTTTTCATGGCAATTATATACGAAATGCTATTTGCCACATGAGTAAAAAAAAATCAAATTTCACAGAGAAACTAATGGTGAACTTCAAATAATTTAGCTGATAAATTATAATATATGTGATCAAAGCAATGGTTCAATTTTTTAACTTTACAGCAGAATCCTGGTTACCCCCCAGCACCACAAGCAGGCTATGTGCAGCAAGGACCGCCTGGATATGGTGCACCACCAGCGGGAGCACCCGGATACGTTGGACAGCCAGGAGCACCTGGATACGCTGGACAGCCAGGAGCACCTGGATACGGTGGACAGCCATACGGTGGACAGCTAACATATGTTGTTGCCCACCAGAATCTTCAGCCAGTTACTCAATTGAACATTATCAGGAACAGGCCAAATAACTATCTTGTACTTGCTATATGCGTAGCTCTCTGCTGCTGTATGCCATTCGGAATCATTGGCATCGTTTACAGCATAGATGTGAGTTTGAATGTTTCTTGACACAACTTGCAACTGAGGCCCGTAACCGGAGGGTAGGAGGATGAGGTTTTGGCCGACCCCTTCTTTTATACCAGTATACTACTGTAATAGTACAGTATTTTATCATAAATTTGTTTCTTATTTAAGAAACACATATGAGTTAAACTTGGCCTTTACGAAATTCCCCCTTCCCATGAATCTGGTTACAGCCTGCAACTGTACATCGATACAAACACCTGTTGTTGTTATTATTATTGATTAAACAGATTTTCATTAATATGTTTTTTATTAATTCTTATTTAGCGGCAATTATACAGACTGCCATTTTTTTTTATCACATAAGTTTTGTTCACACTAGCAAATTTTCTTTGACAAAAAGCTCCATATTTAGCCATGTCGCATGTTTTTGTCAAATAAAATTAACAGTCTGTACGGCCCTTAACTCACATGGAACTGAAATATCAATCTGAAGCTTAATGAAATAAATATTTTTACTATGGTTTTTTTTTTTTTTTTTTTTTTAATTCTTTTCATTAAGACTATTTCCATCATCTTTATCACCACCATCATTTATTTATTTATTTATTTTTTTATTGGATATATATATATATAGCACAAATATCAACATATGTGCTCAAGGTACTTCTTTCCTTGGTCATTAGATATAGAATCAATCATGCACAATGTTCAACCTCCTCCGATCTCTGAGAAGTACAGTATTCCCAGTCATGCGCGTAATCAACGCTACTAATTTCATTCCCAATCATTCACCTTCCACCAGGAACCATTTATACTCATGGGTGAAAGGCAAATGCAGATAAAGTGCCTTGCCCAATGACCAAGCAGCGTGACGAGCATCGATCTCAAACCCCAAACTTCCGATTGAAAGTCTAACGCCTTACACGCTGATCCACACACTTCTACAACGCCACAATGTGCCAATAAACTGACCATGTTTTAAAATTGTTTTCATAGAGTTCCAGGAAGTTCGACCGAGGTGATGTAGCTGGTTCAGAATCGTCGGCCAATTCGGCAAGGGGCTGGTCAATTTCCGGGCTAGTGTGTGGTATTATCTGGATAACTATTTACATCATTTTCCAAGTGACATATTTTGCATCGTCATCCTATGATTATGATGATTATAACTCTTCTTATTAGGCAGATTATTTTTTTTTTTTGCATACCTTCCAGTTCCAGTTAAAGCTCAAATAACGTTTGATTTTAGCAGAAATATTGCCTAAAGTTTATAACAAATGTATGGTGACAGTTTTTAAAGCAATTAAAATAACACCTAAATTAGCAACTTACAAGGGGCGTAGCAGAATGATTCTTTACACTTCTGTGAGAGTAAATAAGGATGGGAAAAATGTTGTATTCATTACCAACCAAAATAGATCGGGGTCCAATCTTAAAAAAGTTTTTAGATCATGTTGGCAGTTTTACCATTTTTTTTTTTTTACATATTCATTTATACTTAGGCGAGAATATTTTTATGCCTTGTTTAGCAAACAAAGATAAGATATGTATATTTCTTCCTAATTATATAAATTTGAAGCTTTTAACCATCCTATTTTACATTCACCAATAAAATTTTATTTTTATTTTCTCCTCTATCTGGATGATTTAGGCAAAACTATTTGCTAAATAAGAAAACAAAATTTTATTTTTATTTTTATTCTGCCCTCCTCCGATAATCTTTAAATAAATAAGTATGCGAAACAAGGAATGAAAAAAGTCTCGCCCTACTGTTTGCTCAGTTTATAATATAGTGACTTTTAAAAAAATATCTATTTACTAGTTTATAATTACCGAGCATGTATTTTTTGCACTGTTTTAGATGTTATCATTTTAAAGTTGTTATGTGAGTCTGTGTAAGACTAAGACAATATAGAATAGGGATAATTTTATTAGGACAACATGTATTGTTTTAGTATTGATATATCGATAAGCTCTTATCAGATTTTATGTGACAAATGTTAAGATATGCCCATATTTGGTAGAAATATGACATCATCATACCCATGGACACAAATTTGTCAAATAAGCTTTGATAGTGTAGATTCCTGTATTACCTCTATGTTTATAGATTGCAATACAATTTGCAATATAAACACTTCTAAAAGTCTATCAAAAAATGATAGATACAGAAATCATAACAAAAATCCAAACTAAGGGGTTGTCTTATACGTGGATCTTCTTATGTGCGAGCGGTAGACTGTTTTCCATGTACAGTATATCATAATTAGCAATTGCTAATGGAAGGATGATAGAAGTTTTACAGTTTTCCGATTTTTATGCAACAACTGTTTATTGGGAAAAATCCTATGGTGATTGGATTTGGGATTTCTTTTTACAAATTTTGATAGTACCTTTGATTTGCTGAACTTTAAATCTAAAAATTCTTTGAAAGAATTAATAAATATTATCATGATGCTTCAAAATAAGTAATGCAGTTGAATTATACTGTAAGGGTTTTTTAGGGATATTGTGAGCTTTTAAAAAAGCCAATAAGAAAACAATATGCCCATTTTTCTTACTCAGTGCAATATATTACCCAGGTCATATATTAAATAGTTTTTGGAGAAGTTTTTTTATATACAGTATACATGTGAAGCTCCTGTCCAGATTATCATTATTTGACAAAAACATGTGACATACCTAAATATGGTCATGATGACATCACACTATCACCCTATATAGGCACATCATGACTATATATAGGCACGTCATTACTATATATAGGTATATAACAGTTTTTTGTCAAAGAAAATTTGATAATATGGACCAACTTTTTAGATTACAGTAATAAATCTTGTTTTATGTAACTCAGAATATATATTATCCACTGATAGCTTACCTAGTGAGTACACATTAATTAATAAAGGACATTCAAAAATGTTATATGCAGTCATTTATGGATTTTGTTCTTTTTGAGTATTATATAGGTCATAATAACATCACTCTCAAAAAGCCTATCAACTGGAGATTAGGACTGTGTGAATGGAAGCCAGGTGATAGCGCAGCTAAAAATGGAACAGATGTCTCAGGGACTAGGTCATCCTTCTTACCCTGGGGTCCCAAGTCTCCCGGAACTCGCGGGAGTCTTCCAGAAATTGGGACAGCCTCCCGCATTTGCGCAAGCAAGCCATCTGGATCCTGGTAACGGTTAGCGCTAATCGATTGGGCGTTCACGCACGGGTGTTTAGTCTGCTGATTTCTGTCGTTATTTTATTGAAGAGCTGATTTGTTCAAGGAAATAGAACCTCATACCTCCTTCACATTAACCAATTTAAAGATCACGATTCAATTAGTTTTCAATCACACCCAACTACACATATTTTTTTCCATATCATTGGACAAAATCATTTGGTTCCCCTAATGTGGTGTTTCATCGGTATTTACCTAGACAACACAGTCAGTTGAAAATATAGTAAGCAAGCTCCCGCAAATTAACCCATTCATCAAATTCAAATTCATATTTTCTCACGGAAGTCAGTGCCAATAAGAGTGTGAGAGGTATCTAGAGGTGCCTAAGTCATAACTTTTCTTACTCCCTCCAACCGTGGTGGAGCTGAGGTGCCAACCCTCCATCTTTAAATATCTCTCCCTGCCCCCCCCACCCTTCAACCCGCCACCCCGGATCTCCCTTCCTCAAAGTTGGAACCCCTGCTTGCCACAACTACAAATTAGCATGGTTCAGACCATTGAGTTTCAGACGACCTTTCATTCCAGCCAAAGTACATTATCGGACATAAAAGTATAGACATGGTACTTGAGATTGAGACAATGGCTATGTTTGCACACGGCAGCTAATAGTTTAGCAGGATCTGGATTCTTCTAACTGTAGCTGCCTTGCGTTCATACAAGACAATCCCCGATCCAGACACCAAGAGGATGATGATTGAGTCACCGGCTAATAGGAAATTGGAAATACGTGCATGTGATTGGTTGATGATAAAAACGCGCTCAACTTGCTAACCGATAACGCTCGCTAACCATTAGTGTATCTCGATCCTGGTGACGGTTAGCGCTAACCGATCAGGCATCACGCACAGGTGCTAACGGTTAGCGCTAACGGTTACTTCCCGATCCATATACTAGGGCTCTCGTGTGAACCTGACCAACTATATGCGAATATAGTTGTCTCGGCTTAGACGAGCGTTACCATGACAAATATTCTTATTGCTACTTTACATGCAGCAGAACTTCAGAATCGGGTGCAAGATCACTGGCACTACCCAGTGCATACGAGAAGGTGCTAGTATTGGGTCACATGTAATGCTGTAGCTATTGGAACAGTCCCACACATTTTTTCTAATGGGTCCACAAAGAATGGGTCCACATTTTTAAAAATGGGTCAAGATTTCTCATATTTAGCTTAAAATGGGTCCAGATTTTCCATATTTTTGCATATAATGGGTCCACATTGTTTGAATTTACACGTAAAGTGGGTCCACCCTGATTGCATATTTTGAAATCATGGCTACGGCATTGGTCACATGGGAATATATATACCAGTACAATATTAAGCAGCAATGTACTGAACTATCGTATGGAATTATTGTTAAATTTTCATTTACGATTGGACCAAAATAACATCGGCATTTACTTGGCCGTTTTGGTCACAATCAGCGATCTTTTCCAACTGACTGTTACTACTATATTCTGTCATGATCAGGGGTGGCGCCAGCGGTAAGGGGTGGGGAGGACCCCCGGTCGGGGAGAGCTGTCCCTTCCCCCTCCCCAGTCGGGGAGAAGAACCACAATTCGTCGGGGAGAAAACAAATTTATATGTATTTTCTACATATTATTAGACCCAAAATCGATTAAATAGGCTAAGCCTTTAAAACCCCTAAATTGTCATATTTTTCTACCCATGGAACACTTCGAGAGATTTTGAGGGACGCCCGACCACGCCCACTTTTTTCGCCGGTGGAATCGCCTCCTCGGACAAGTCCTGGTGCCACCATTGGTCATGATCGCCGATTGTGATCGAAACGTCCATGTTATTTTGATTCAATCATAAATGAAACACCACATGAGAGGAACCAAATGATTTTTTCTAATGATATGGAAAAAATTATATGTGGTTGAGTGTGATTGCTAATTGAATCGTGATCTTCAAATTGGTTAGTGAGAAGGAGGTATGTGGTTCTAGACCAAATCAGTTCTTCAATAAAATAATGTAATTTCTGGTTGGTTACTGTCTCTTATACACATCTAGAATCAGCAGACTAAATACTGTATTAACATTTATTTGTATCTAGGTTTAGTCCACGCAGTCTGGTATAGTCTGTGGTTATAGTTTATTTATAGTTAGTCTTGAAAAAGTTGAGGTCAGGCATACGGTAATTTATATGGATCTAAAAAGCAGACTAAAGCTACATTATTATGCCAATATCCATCATGGTTTACTAGAGTCCCTGTGGAAAAAGAAAGCCCCGTCCCCTCCTCATTAATAATTTGCATCTTCTCCCATGAGAATATGGGTCCAAATTATAACATTAGTCACATGACAAGTGTCATTTCGTTATTTTATTTTTATTATTAGGCCTAGGCAATTATTATTAATAATAATAGTTTTATGATGATTATTCAAAAACCTCCATTTCTAGATGCTAAATAATAGGCCTAAAATAACGTAGGCTTATTATTTCCTTTAAGGTCCATTAAATCATTGAGATGAAGTATAACATAAATATTTTTTATACCATTAATAAAAACTAAAAGCAAGTTTACAATGTAAACATGTACGGGAAAATATTATGATTGTAACAGTTGCACAATGGCAAAATATTTGTTAGATATGTTATAAAAATTCTTATACTAATTAGTTTCAAAGCTAAAGTTTCATTGCCTTTTTGAGAAAGATATCATCCTACTTGAATCGAGACAATTATGTCATGTGGTTGGTGTCTTTGAACATCTGCATCCGTGCTTTGAAGCGTGCTCCAATGATGTGCTAAACAATGTAGTATTAGCCCGTCCTCTTGTTTTGGGGGTTTACATACCGTAATTGTAGATACTTGGCCTAAAACTGTATTTAAAAAAAACTATAGAAACTCGTTAAACTAAAATTATTGAGATATCCGGGATTAAATGTCATGGACAATTTTAAGAACATGATTTATTTTAAGTTCAATTACTCTGTCATTAACAGATTACATTTAATGTTACTTAGTTCATTTTGAACAATATGTGCTGGATTTTCTAACTCCAAGATTATTATAGGCCTATTAAACCATTTAGTTTTGACTCGTTTGTAAACGATTTTTATAATACTGTACAGAGAATAATTAATACCGTGACGAACACGCATAATCAAAATTATATTGTCGCATATTGTGGCATTGTCGAAATAAAGGATAGTAATTTACAACTGATACTGGTTCACGTTGTCAATTCTGCAATTTAATTTTATTTATTTATTTTTGCTATTTTATTTATTCCCTCGCCCTCACCAAATTATCTGTAACATGGATCATAGGCGGATTTAAGGGGGGCCTACCCCCTAAATTTGTCAAAATAAAAAAAAATTAAAAGAAAACGAAAATTCGACTAAAATTTTGAGTATAGGAGTGCCATTTCCGGCCATTTAAAGGTGCCATAATCATAAATTTTCTTACCTCAGCCCCAACCATGGTGGGGCTGAGGTAGTATAGACACTCCAACTGTGAAAGTCCCTCTCCGGGCCCCCACTATTTCAAATTCCTTGATCCGCCACTGTGGATTGATACCATTCAGTACCGTAACCACACTACTATTTCATAGCTTGTTAACTATGATTCTGGTACTGGTATAGGCTCAGTACGAATTTATATGTGAAATTTACATGTGAAAATGATGGTTTTTTTGCACTTGGTAACATTAGTCAAGAGGAAACTTTAAGACACTTTCTGTTTATCTGTTCTGCTCTTTCAAACATACGATTAGTTGGACAATCTTAAACATGCATTAGAGAATTATAATAATAGGCCTATCTGGAAATTCTCAAACTCAACTATCGACAATAAACTGCATTATGTTTTAGGATCAACAGTTATTCCTCTACCTGAAGTAGAGCAGATTTTTGATACATTTCGTAAACTTATACCAAGAGAGCTTGGAAAAAGAGATCAGAAATTAAACATGTTCAATCCTTATAGTAAATTAAGATCTGTATTGCTGAACATTGTGTAATTTTTTTGGCGGCCAGTGAAGACCCGGAAGCACCGCACCATGATTGGTTTTCAAGTGTGGAGCGAATAATTGTCTTTCCAGCGAGGAAAAGATTTCTGTTTTGTGCAATCGTACCAATCATGCACAAACAATACATGTAGGTACAGCAAGCACAAAATGTTATAACATCAGGAACGTTATGAATAGGCCTATTAGGGATAGAAAATAACGTAACGTTGCAGCGCGCATAGATTGCGACATTAGGGAGATTTCGCAACCAAAATACGAACGGTCATCATTTTAATTACAGTATTGTCATTTTGTGCCTAAAACGTTTAATTCTTGAAAATACAGGACTTGAATATGATCGTGATTCGTGTAAAAGGCATGGATGGTATACATTGTGACAGATGTGACACTATAGGGGATGGATTAACCATGGAGCTATAAATTATTTATAGCTCCATGGATTAACTAACATTTGATGACATAGCCATATTGGTTGTCGTTTCGTAAGCTTGCGAAACCTCCCTATGGATAGTAAGAAATTACGTTATAAACACGTATTATGGTTCTACAAACAACGTTATGATACCAAAACTATGAAATCAAATATAGGCTTATTTATTCAGTCAGTGTTTCGGAAACAAATACATAGATAACAATAACATATAGTAAAATCAATATTTATATAAGCGCCACCAAAACCAAAATTGAGATAAAATGAGCAGCGGTGCCAGAGTGGTGACTTTCAAGAAGTCTCTCCCACCCATAAACATTTAGTGATGAATATATTTTTTATCAATCAAAACATTTTTAATTCCAATTTTTTATTCTAAAAAAAAAAAAAAAAATCTTAATTCTTGTCAACATAATTCCTGGATCTGGATCCTACCAAAGTATTGATTAAGATTGGTGGCGCTATGCACTTCACGCTTGACAGACAGTGAGAGAGGAGAAAGCGTTTGTAAACAAACTGACGTGCATGCATGTGGTGGTGGGGCTGTGACTAAGGATGGCAAGTCAAACCAACGGGAATGTTACAGGAAAAACTGAGAGTTATGAAGCATGGAAAATAAGATCTATCAAGTTTGCGAAAGAGTGGACTCATGTGGTATGTTCTCTCATTTTCTAAATGCATCCTGACAACATGCCATTCATGACCAATTATACTACAGTACTACTCTAGGCTTAGCTACTAGGGCTAGGCTGGCCCAAGAATTAGATAGGGCTGTCCACTACAAAACACAAAGCAGGCTCGTTTGAGGAATGCTGGTGTGGCCTAGGCTAGTGAGGAGGCCTAGTATAGAGCCTAACCACCAGGAGTTGGGCAGAAAACTAGCTAGCCTCATCCCATCAGTAAAATAGGACATACAGGCTAGGCTAGTATTAAGGGCACATAGAAAAAAATTATTAGATTTTATCACTCTAAAAAATGCTGAGAGCGGGAGGTTTTTTTTGGTTTTTTTTGGAGGGGGAGGGGGTAGGATTATACCTGGGGAATCCTGTGTGCATGGACAGAACGAACATGACATCCTTTTTCGAAGTGGTACACACAGTGGCTACCACCAGATTAGCCGACTGAGCTGAGCTGCTCTCTCTTGTTTAGACAAATGCTGGTCTAGCTCTAGGTAAAGACAAAAGCCTAGGCACCTAGGGTATTCCCTTCCCTTTGATGTTCGATTAATGTCAGATTTTTTCACTGGAATATAGGCCTAGTTTTGGATAGGCCATTGAATCACAGAGCAGTTTTTTAAAAGCATCTGCCACTTCAAAAAACGGTGTCATGTTCGTTCTGTTCAATGTAGATATAGGAATCACCGGGTATACCCACCCACCCAAAAAAAAACCTCCCGCCCTCATCATTCTGTATGGAAAGGCCAGAACCAACTGTTACTGCAATATGGGGTAAGACAGTGTTCCATCTCAGACCTAGTAATACTGTATTACTGCAATATTGCTGAAATCATAAAAAGTTTATTATCTACAAAATAAGAAATTGCTTTGTTCATCGAACCTTAAAAAATTTTTTAAAGAATTATTGGTTGCACATTTTAACCAGACTGTAAAGTATTAAGGCCTTTGCAGGGAATATATCCTCCGTGCAAAATTTAGGCATATAAATCTGCTGTGCATTTTGGAAAATAATGCTTGATTTCTGCACAGATTTTGCCGAAAATTATTCTTTGATCTAGTAATCTATGACAAATTTATATATGCAATAGTTACAATTTTGCGCACCTACAGTATTTTCCTAGTGATTTACCACCCAAATCATAACATCTTTTAAATGCACTGGGGAGGGGTAAAGGCCTATGCTCTTTGTCCCTGCTGGTGACATTATTTTCTCTCTCTGTTATTATATCTGTGATCGTTTGAATTAGGCATCTAACTACATGAACACCTGTACCCAAACCCCAACACAGATTCTGCCCCTAGACCACACAGGGTGCCTCCATCAGCACCTATGCTCCCACTTCTGAGGCCCTGTTCAAATACCTTCAATAACAAATTGATGTTGGTCAATAATTGTTAATTTCATTTTTTACAACACCTTTGTAAAGTGACATTTATTTGGAATAATAACACATACAGAACCAGAAACAAAAAAGCAAGAGGCTGCGAAATTTGTGATTTTATTGTTTTTGTCATCGTTGCTTGAAGTGTGATAAAATTGTCAACAGAAAAGAAGAAGGAAGATAATTGTTCGGAGGTTATGGATCAATATAAATCATTGAATCGACATACTGTAGTGTATTATTTTCTGGTGTGTTTTTCTCACAGACAGATATTTTGGTTTTTACCTAGGTGCTGTGGCTTGCAACAAATCTTATCTTTTGGTTAGTTGTGTATTTCAGATATGAGAACGAGCCTGAATACCACTACATTCGATTACTAGCTGGGGTAAGAAACTATTTTTTATTTTGATTAAGTTTGTGTCAGGAAAGTATCATAGAAGTGATGTTTTGCCCTACCTGATGTGTTATTGTACCGAATACTCTGTAGGTTCTCAATTATTTGCAAGTGATTCAGGTGGAAATCGAATCCACGACCTCCAATTAACTAGCCTGGAGTCATAATTACTAGAGCACCGAGCTTCGCTAAGTGACTAGTATTGAATCTGACCCCCAAGTAGCAGTTGGTAGGCCTACTGCAAATGCTATTTTGATGTGAGTTTGCATCAGGAAAATATAAAAGTGATGTTTTGCCCTACCTGACGTGATTCGGTACGATATCATGTAAGGTACAGTAGGGCAAAACATCACTTCTGTAACTATTGTTATCAATCAATATTATCTAATGTACAGTATTAATACAGGTAGTTGTAGTGGCTCTAGCAGAGTGACATTTGGAATTTAGAATCCTGTTGTTGTCATTTTTTATAGACCTTGGCTCATTCTGGTATTGATACTGGTATGGGCATTTATAATGTGCCTCTTCCTTGCGGTTATAAAGCGCAGTTCCTTTCCCTGGTCACTGGGTCCACATGCTAAGTGTTGCTGCTGGTAATCAGTGCAGGAGCAGGCAACCCCACCAGGTACCCATTTATACTCCTGGGTGGAGAGAAGCAAGTGTCTTGCTCAGGACACAAGTGAAATGCACAGCGAGAGATTGAAACCCCGACCTCAAGGTTAGGAAAGCTGCGCCAAACCGCTTTATTCCCAGTCATTCCTCAACAATCCCCATAAAGAAGGGACTTCCACAAATACATAGGGGGTTTAGAAAGGAAATTTTATGATTTTGGTTCCTCTAAATGACTGAAATGGCATTTTCAGACCTAAATTTAATTATAATTTTCCTTTTATTTCTCCATTATTTAGGGGACAGGGGTCTGGTTAGCCACTCCCCCTCTTGAATCCATCACTGGCTTAAAAAGTAGTCTATTCAAACATTACACAAATATTTTAGAATCCTTGGTAAAATATGTTTCTCCTCCCCAAACCCCTAGTCAGCAAAAAATGTAAACCCTAGTTCTTTTGCCTTGTCATAGGGTCTCATGTAAAGTATGTACTCACTGCAAAAGAGAAATGTTCCCAATGTTTTTGCGAATCTGCATTAAGCTCAAACATAACTTTACTGTATGACAAAAGCAAGAATATTATTTTAAACTTTATTAAGGCCAAATAAAAAAAAAATACTAGTTTCTCATCTCCTCACGCATCCAGGAGTCGACTGTTCTATTATTTTTCGAGGGGTGTTCTCATGTATGAGAAAGAATAGGCAATTTGTCAGTTTATCCAGGTAAGTATCCACTCATAGACTACCAACATCACCATTGATTGGTGTATTTTCTCTGCCTCACCAAATTTAAAAAAAAAATTATTTTATTTTACAAAATGTACAAAAAACTTGCAACAATAAAATTCCTCTCTCGATCATTCATGGTTGGGGGATACACATGGTATGAATCATGTCCAGTGCTTCTTTTATTTGCTTTCGGTGTGTCTACTTGGTAAAACTGAGAAAGTAGTAACTGTTTCCCATCGACCATCTTGGATTTGCCATCTTGGAGTAAAAAAAAAAAAAAAAATCCCTCATTCTACTTTTTTCAAAATACAGGGTATTAGGACGAGAAACTACTTTTTTTTAAAACTTGGCCTAAATCAATGATACTTTATAACATTCTATTGGCAATCTTTGGCATTTGTGAATTAAAAAAAGTTTTTTACCTCCTAGAAATCGTTACCTTTTGCCAAAGCTTGTGCAGCCTGCCTTAATCTCAACAGCATGTTGATACTGTTTCCAGTTTGTAGGAATCTTATTTCATTCTTCAGAAGTTCAGTGGAAACCAAAGCAGTAAGTATTGATTTTTTATTGATAGCATCTTGTATTTCCAATAAACGGTGTATGTGTGATGTTTTTAAAGTAGACAGGAATTATAGATGCAGGATGTGTCACCATAACAAGCCACGCCCCCTAGGCTGAACACGTTGTATTTAGCAACTACCGTAGCAGTTTGATCTCAATTTTTGTTTTTAAATAATAACATAGAGGGCGCTTTATTTTGTGATTTTTACATGGAGGGTGCTATATTCAAATTTTGTTTTTTATTTTTATCTCACGCATTGCAAAGTTGGCAGGTATATACATTATAGGAACCAGATGAATTTCTTCAATCCATGATCTTTTCATTTATTTTTTCTTTCTCTACAGTGTTGTAAACGAAGTGTTCGTCGACTGCTGGACAAAAACCTAGTTTTTCATAAGACATTGGCTTACGTCATTATCCTCTTTACTCTCGGCCACATCAACGCACATTACTTTAACTTTGAAAACTTATTCAATTCCCGCGTACACCCAGAGACAGATATTCAGAAGACGCTAAGTTTTTTGCCTTATGAACAACCAGATACATGGGTTAATCCTGTACAGAACCCCTCTGAGGTAGGTGGATATCATAATGTTGCTAATGGAAACATGTGGCTAGTAGCATATATCTTAGGAGGAACATTGGGGGCCTACCCCTTCCTCACTTTAAAATTTGATGACCAAAAAAATTACATTCAGGTCGTTAAAATTCACTCATTTCCCTTTGCTAGCACCCTCAATATTCCATTCACTCCACCTTACCCCATAAAAACCCACTTTAATCCTATGTGTGTAGTGCATGTGGCATGACTGCATTTGGCTTCCTATGGAATGGTTGTGAGATTTGTGTCCAAGGGTGCTCACACTGCTATATCCATGTGTAGTCACTGTGTCCACCTTTTTTCCTCCTCTTATGAGTATGGATACCATATGTGGTTAGATATGAATGTTCTGTAGTAACAAATGTGTTTGTCTCTGTGCTGAATGCACTGTTAAGAGAGAGAGCAGGAATACTGTACATGAAAAATTTGGGCTTGATTGGTCTGTAACCATTAACAATCAGTAATAAATGACAAATGTTTGGTCAGCAGCTTTTCATTTGTTATTAAATGTTTAAAAATAGGTCTAATTTTAGGATTACTGTACTGCCATCACTCACCCCATGTAATATGTGGCAAAGTCAAGCCAAACCAGTCACTCCTTGTTAAAATAGATTTTTATGTATTTATACAGAGTTAAGAAGTAAAATGAGAGCTATAAAATGATAAAAGAATCATTTAAATCCGACATTTCTTTATGAAGTTACAGGAGTTTAAACAGACAGCGGATTAAAGAACAATATATGAGAATCAACCTTCAAAGTTAACAATTTCAAGCATTTCTCAGGTAGAAACCATCACCAAATCGTTATAAATATTTGTTTTAACATTGAAAATGGGGAAAATGACAACACAGCATGATGTATAAATGTATATAAAAGTTAGTTTAGTGCAATAGATCTCAAACATTTTGACATTCCAACAGGTTTTGGCCATTATCTCTGAAACATGATTTGCGACAAATGACTAGTTTGGCTTGTCTTTGCCACATATACAGAGCTATGCTGTGGAATTTATTGTTAGACTAAGGTGTGTGCTAAACCAGACTTAAATCAAGGAAGGGATGGGGTAAGGAAAGTGGAATGAGTCTGCCATGTTTTTTCAAGGAATAATATTTTTATATTTCCTCAAGAATGATAAACTACCATTTTGTTTGCTACAGTAAATCACAAATGTAGTCACAATTTGTGTGTGGTGTTGAAAAGGATTGTAATGTGCAACTGTTTTTGTTGTCGCTTGCTACATTTTGCAGACTACGTATGGTCTAGGCGTCATTCAACAGGTCATGCAGCGTGTGGCTGGCTGGACTGGCATCTTCATCACAATGGCTCTGTTGCTTATGTATACTTCCTCAACTGAATTCATTAGGTTTGTATTATCATTTTGTCAACATTGTAAAGTCCTGTTTACATAGGCACTTTACCTGAATGTATACTCAGATACCATAGTGCCTGTATTTTTTTTCGAATAAACACCCTAGGGCGTTCATTGTTGAGAAGGGCTTTTGAGGGGGTGTTTATTCGAGGAGGCATTTAATTTGTTTTTGTTACATTGGATAAAGTTTATACTCAAATAGAGAAAATGTAATTCTGCTGGAGTAGAACATTAATAGAAGGTGTTGAGAATAGTGTGACTTCCATTATTTTACATGAGACCCTAGATGGGGCGTTTATAAAAAAGGGGTGTTTGTTGATAGTGGGGCATTTCCTGAATAAAAAAAATCCCTGGTGGGGTTGACTGGGAAAGTTTTTATGGCTTATTGTGGTCCAAATTTTGCTATTAGAACAACAATATTAGGGATTGGCAATCAAATTAACTTTATTTGGATAGGCAAATTATAATTTTTTAAAGTTTTTGTTCCGATGACCAGGATTAGATGGACTCTGTAACTTAATCTACTACTATGAGGGTAAAATACGAGTAAGTTTAGTGTGCCCAGGGAAGAACCCTGTGTGTTCATTGACCAAGGAAATGTTGTTATTAATACAGTACCTAATTAATAATAATAAAGTATAGTAATATAATTTACTTTCAACAGTACAATGTAATTATTTTTCTTGTGTTGGTTTTTAGGCGTTATTATTTTGAGACATTTTGGTTCACACATCACCTCTTTATCATCTACTATGGTTTCCTAATTGCCCATGGAGCTGAGTAAGTATATAGAGATCATTTCAAAGATATTAGAAAAGTAATTATTCATTTCTCATTATATTATCAAGGATTTTAGTTAATGCCCAGCTCTGCGGTTTTTATATTCAATAATTAATATAATTAATAATATATATATCAGTATGTACACATCAAAATTAATTAGTGGAAAACTCTTACCACTGCAGTGGTGGATCAAATGTGGGGCTCAGCTGCCCCTCCCTCCAACTTTAACTGGATAAATAAAAAATTATATATAAACTTAAGTCTGAGAGTGCCATAATCATAAATTTTGAAAGACTATAGTGTACAGGTTGTAGAGAATAAATTTATTTTGATTACCAAAAATTAATTTGAAATGGTGTACCAGGTTGTAGTATGTAAAATATATTTGTTATGGTATGTGTGTCACTACGCTTGGTTTTGTTTGTTTGAACAAAAGATAGAGGAACAAAAAAAGGAAGTCTGATAGCTCCCCCAAAAACGAAACTATTAAACTACTGTACTATGATCACTTTTTTTCACAATACAATCACATCACTTAAATATTGATCTTCTTTTTATCTAAATAAGGATCTGATTTGTCATCCTAACCTTGAAACATTGCTTCCTTTATATTCAAATGGGAATTATTAAACAAAGTAAAAGGAAGTTTACCTGAATAGTTTTATAGTGAAGAGTAGCAAATTGAAAGGCAATTACATACCCAGAACTTCACAGAAAATGCTGAAGGAACTAAATATTGTGAACAATTTTTCCCCTGAAGTAGTAAAATATATTTATGTTTTCCAGCAGTGTAAAATGTTGATTTTACGGGGATTATACTGTAGTATAACAAACCATTCAGCTACTACAACACTTAAATATTAAGCCTCCATTTTCCTATAAGGATTTTTCCTTCTCATTGTTATTGTGAAACATATCTTATATTCAAATGGAAATTATTAAACCGCACTTAAAGGATGTTTAAATTTTACGCAAGAGTTAGCAATGGCAAATGTCAAGGATATTGCATACAGGGAATTTAAAAAATGGCAAAGGAACAAAACTGTTCAGTTAATTAAGGTACTGTATAAATATATTTATATCTTGCAGTGTAAAATAAATATGTTGATTTTACTGGGAATAACATATTCAATGTCATATGTTGATTATCTTAAAAGTTGCATGTGAGTTGTATGGGGCTGTATCCCTTTTGATCCTGGATTCTTTTTGCAGTGGAAACCCTTGATTCCTAGATTCCTTTAGTGTAACAATTTTTTAATGTGTTTTTAAGTTTACACCTTTCTGAACAATGTTTTGTATAACTTTCTGTAATTTTTACAAAAGAATGTTTCGAAACAAATGTTCCTTAAATAATAAGCTTTCACTTGATGTATAATTCATAATTTTTAAATTTTTTTCTAGGTGAAAAGCATGTGTAAAAAAAAAAAATTACTAACAATAAATAATAATAGAAAAATGCCTATAAATCATCGGCAAAAAATTGTGAAAAAATGAACAATTAGCCATATAATAATATCAAAATAATAGAAAAATTCACAATAGACATGGTTACTTGCCCAAAAATGCATAATTATTCATTATTGTACAATCTTTCCATTCCAATCTAGACCTAGACCCATACTCAACAACATCATCACCGCCGTCATCACTGCTAATCGCCTGCCCGTTGTTGTAGAGGCCTAGGCTAGTCTTTGAAAACAAAATGCCAAATCAAAAACAAGGAAAATAGGGGCACATAAAACCTGCAGTGTTTTTGGTTGTCGAAGTACTCAACAGAAGATAAGTGTCTGGAAAAACGAAATTAGGCTAGGCTGTTGGATCCCCCCTGCGTAAATTTGAGACATTGATAGCACTGTTTCAAAATAGATCAATAAAATGGTGTATAGTAAAGCTGTACTTACTTTTGAGGGTATTAATTGTACTTTCAGTGAAATTATACTGTAATTTGAGTTTCACTAATACCTTACTTTTGAGGGTATTAATTGTACTTTCAGTGAAATTATACTGTAATTTGAGTTTCACTAATACCTAGGATGAATGAGCTTTTGATGTAAGTTCGGTTTCACTTTAATACAGTTTCACTGTATATTTACAGTTTCACTTGTACAATGTTAATTTCAGTTTCACTACAAGTTCCATTGTAAGTTAATACAGTAATGTAATATAATACAGTAATAAATAGTAATCATAATAATATGGTAATATCTATTAATATCATACTTACTGTATATTTTCTTTGTTCTGTACTTTACTCACCTTCTATTACAAAACACATTTTTTTAAGGATGAAGATGAATTTGTTTTGCATATGTCTTGGCAACTCTAGGAAGCGCTATAAATTTGTTTTGGTTAGTGGGATAATTTGTGCATGCATTCTTTATGTGTGTATCCCCTCTTGGCATTGTGTCCAAACCGAATAGACCTTATTTCATTTCCTGCCGTTCTTCCGTGCTTCATCTTTGTGTATTGAGACATATTTTTGTATGCCTGCTGTAGATTTAACTATGTAATACCAATTCACATTGAAAAGACACAAATTCGTCTTCCCAGTCAGAATTTTGTCCTTTGTTTTTGTCATTTTTTTTCTTGTACTGTATCTTGATTTTTTCGTCTTGTCTGTATTCTGGCTGCACTTGCTTTGTTTTGGCTGGCCCATCACAAGATATTAATTTAAATCTGCCTTCTTCCTATTATCTGTATATGTATCTGATTAAAGCTACGTTCACATCAAGCCTGGAGTCTGGAGAAAACAATCGTGAAAAACAGGTTTAGTGGTAAAGAATAGGACCGTACACATTAAATTCGTACGATTTCCAATCCGGACTTTGGATCTGAAGCGATGGATCTAAGAGCCATTTGCATACTGAAATCGTTCTTTTTCTTTTTTTTCTTGGATCAATCAGCAACAAGCTTGGTTGGTTCGAATTAATCAAACGCATACATACTTAACCCGAACAACCGTGTTCTGTGCGCGATGTGAATGCAGTGTTCAAAAAACATAGCAACTCATGATTTTCTGTCTTGGCTTGATGTGAACGTAGCTTAATTCTAAGGAAGAAAATAAAAGTTTCAAATGAATACGAATATGAATATGTTTTTTTTTTTTTTGTCATTGATGTTTTTTTTTTGTCATTGAATAAAGATGACAATTTCCATCCAATGCAGTGACTACCATCTTTGTTTTGCATTTTCTTCTCGCCGTCTGTGACATTATAAATGCTGTTTTATCATTGCATACTGAAATCCTTCTTTTTCTTTTTTTTCTTGGATCAATCAGCAACAAGCTTGGTTGGTTCGAATTAATCAAACGCATACATACTTAACACGAACAACCGTGTTCCGTGCGCGATGTGAATGCAGTGTTCAAAAAACATAGCAACTCATGATTTTCTGTCTTGGTTTGATGTGAATGTAGCTTAATTCAAAGGAAGAAAATAAAAGTTTCAAATGAATACGAATATGAATATGTTTTTTTTTTTTGTCATTGATGTTTTTTTTTTTGTCATTGAATAAAGATGACAATTTCCATCCAATACAGTGACTACCATCTTTGTTTTGCATTTTCTTCTCGCCGTCTGTGACATTATAAATGCTGTTTTATCATTGCATACTGAAATCCTTCTTTTTCTTGGATCAATCAGCAACAAGCTTGGTTGGTTCGAATTAATCAAACGCATACATACTTAACACGAACAACCGTGTTCCGTGCGCGATGTGAATGCAGTGTTCAAAAAACATAGCAACTCATGATTTTCTGTCTTGGTTTGATGTGAATGTAGCTTAATTCAAAGGAAGAAAATAAAAGTTTCAAATGAATACGAATATGAATATGTTTTTTTTTTTTTGTCATTGATGTTTTTTTTTTTGTCATTGAATAAAGATGACAATTTCCATCCAATGCAGTGACTACCATCTTTGTTTTGCATTTTCTTCTCGCCGTCTGAAACATTATAAATGCTGTTTTATCATTGCAGAGGGATTGTACGCTATCAAACAAATGTTGAAGAGCACAACCCAAAGAAATGTGCAGATTATCCAGATAGTTGGTCAACAATGGATGACTGTAAAAATGCACCAATGTTTGCTGGTGGTGAACTGAAGGTAATGTAGGAATGCATCATTTCATTTCAGTGAGCAGAAATATTTTAAAATTGTTTTGAACAAGTGCCCATGACAGTTATAATACTAAATTATACTCTTTTGTTCTTTTGTTTGCATTTCTCTACAGAGTTGGAAATGGGTGATAGCACCATTGATTATTTACTTTTTGGAACGGGTTATCAGATTTTGTCGTAGCGTTCAAACTGTTACGATCACAGAAGTAAGTGAATTGCAATTCTGAAGCTCGGTATTAATATTAGTTCTTGTGCTACAAAATTGCTGGATTCTGATGATTTAGTGTTCAAGGCATTCATATCTTATTATTGAAAAGAGAAAATGTACAGTATTCATTTGACAAATCAAATCCAAATATTCTAATTAGGACATTAGAATTGGTAAATATATCTTGCATTCATATGAGAAGTTATATGATTAAGATATGTTCAGTTGATAATCATGTGACCTGTTGGTAGTTATCAAATTACTAACATACTTTTCATTTCTCCCAATAAGCCAATTCGTAGTTAGAAGTGTGCATGCTCGTATAAAGATCTGTCGACATATAAACACCATATGACCTTGGATATGAGCATCTGCAACTCAACCACGAATTGGCTTATTCAGTCGGGAGCCTCCCATATCAATCAATCAATATCATATTAATCTGCTGATCTCCCATGTTTGGTCAAACTCTCCAGAATTTTCAAAAATTATTCCGAAATACCTAACACAGGTAATTAGTTGCCTTTTTTGTTACCAATAATTGAGTACATATCATACATTTTTTTTTTTAAATTTTAGGTTATCCAGCATCCATCCAATGCTTTTGAGATTCGGATGAAGAAGTCCGGATTTGAGATGCTTCCTGGTCAGTACATATTCATAAAGTGTCCACAATTGTCAAATTTTGAATGGCATCCATTTACTCTAACATCCGTGAGTATCATGACAAAACAATTTTGATATTAACTTGCACATTTTGAAGTAACATAAAAATAAACAACTTGAGCATAGAAATTTTAATGTTTGATGTTTTTTTAGATTTCACGATTATTTTTAACCTTTAATTTTGATATATTTTACTGTCTTTTTCTGCAGTCTCCCAATGAGGATTTTTTTAGCGTTCACATCCGCACAGTTGGTGATTGGACGAATGGCCTCGCAGAAGCCTGTGGGGTTGGTGGAGATGATGTAATTACACCATCAAAACTACCTAGGTGTGAATGCTTAAATATTTTCAAATAGTCTGACAATTATTATTTTTGTATTCAGTATCATTTAAGTTAGGCCTTCTATACTAGTTGAAATGTATGTGAGAAAGCAGTGACATATGTGATAGGATGGATGAGGGGTCATGATGGGAAAGTTAGGTAGCACTAGCTGGGGAATGAGGTTATTCAACATCACATTTTAAGCAAGGGCTAAAACTTTTTTTTGGCGGCCTGTGCATCCCATGCTGTTCCTTTGATACACCAGGAAACACTTAAATTTCACTGTTCCCTGGATACACCAAAATGGAGGAAAGACATAATGTTTCTGATATCTGTATACTTGACTATGTTGTGTTTTTTTCTTATAGAGTCGCAGTTGATGGACCGTTTGGTACCGCAAGTATTGACATATTTAAGTACAAAGTTGGTGTATGTGTGGCAGCAGGTATTGGTGTTACACCCTTTGCATCTATCCTGAAGACTATTTGGTATATTCTACTTTATATTTAGCCTTCATTTTCTACAATATCTTGCAAACATAGTTTTATTATTTATATAATAAACTATGCTAAATTATTTGAAAAATATAATCCTATATTTGAATGGCTTATTTTGTTTTGTTAGTTTTATTTAAACTTTAAATATTGATAGTTCATTTCTTGCAAATACACAGATGCATAAATAATAAGTTTTTCTATATTCTTTGTATCCTTAAAATTGGTTAGTAATAAGTTTATTCCAAATCAATGAAAACTGAATTGTTTTGAATGTGTACATTATAGAAGATAATAATTTATATCCTCATTTAAAGAAAAAATATTATATATATTCCAATAGTTTGACCACAGACAGTAAGAATTTTTATTTTATCATGCACATATCAGATATCAGATTGAAAAGGTTAGAATGAGTAAAAATGACCTTCTAGATGATTTGATTATTAAATGTAATTATCATTTTAGGCATCGTTTGTTGAACAATTCTGAAGATATGAAACTTAGCAAAGTATATTTCTTCTGGATCTGTCCCGAAACAAATGCATTTGCTTGGTTCTCGGAATTACTGGAAGTGTTTGAACGCGATATGGTTGAGAAGGGATATGCAGACTTCCTTAATTACAACATTTACTTGACAAGGGGATTGAGTTTTAAAGAGGTTTGTGTAATTGTATAGAGCTATATATATATATATAATATAATTTTAAATTACTCATTTAACAAAATCATGTAAGTTATCAATTTTTTCAATTAGTTAAACATTTTTTAAAATTAATGATTAACAGACATTTCATTATAAACTCCAAGTGCTGCCAGAGATTAATGTGTTATGCGAAAAAATGTTTTCTAATTATAATTTGCAGCTGACAGCCTCAGAAATGAACAAAACTAGTACTTTAAATACCTTAAGTACAAATGTTTTGATAGTATATTTTAAACATGAAACTGTGATCACGCACGCATAACGAAAGTAAACTTATGCACTTTTCTTTATTGTACTGTAATTCGATTTCGTTTGTTTTCGTTTGTGTTGAGTAAAGTTTTCACAAAGAACTTTTCTGAAGAGATTATGCGACCCATCAATTTTTCAAACAGTGGGTCGCAACCCATAGGTTGCAGAACGGTGGTTTAGAGTGGGGGAGAGGTGTAGAAGGTTGGGGTTGGTTTCTTTTAAATTTAGAATTTTTGTTGATATTATTATTATTATTAATATTATTTCAATTCGATTTAATTCACTTTTATTTCCATGTTGAACAAGATAAAAATGTATACAAAACACCGTAAATATTAAAAAGAGGGCCATTGCAGAAGGCTAAGCTTTTTGAGCGCAATGCCCTTTAAATACAATACAGTATGAACATAAAAGTTAAGAAAGGGAAAATTCAGAATTTATTCAGGCAAAAAAGTACAATATACAAAATATAATATATATATATTATATATATATATAATTATATATATATATATATATATATATATATGTAGTGATGATGATGATGATAATAATAATAATAATAATAATAATAATAATAATATTAATAATGACATCTTATAAGGTGAATGTATCCATCTGAGAGAGCTTGAAAGAGCAGCAGCCTTTTCTGCATCGTCATGTATTTTTTTATTGTTAGTATTTTTTTTTTACAAAAATCACATTGAAGTTTAAATATGTAATTGAAAAACATCTATATTATCTGTCTCTCAATTTTTCCTAATGCTCTGATGCCGATGTCATGAAGTTTTCAAAATGACCTTTTTTTAAGTGAAATAAATTTATTTAAACATACTGTATATATAGACCAAGACTGTTAGAGCCACCTTTTATTAAAAAATGTTAAGTAAAATACATATTAAAGGAAATTAATGTTTCTGTTTCAGACTAAAAACATATATTTGTCAGAGAATGAAAATACAGATCCCATTACTGGACTGAGGCAGAAGACCCATTATGGCCGACCAAAATGGCCTACGATATTTTCCGAGATTGCCAATGAAAACCAAGGGTGAGTGTTTTCAGTTGTATGAGTAATATATTAATATAAATTTTAAATTTAAATACTGTATATAAATTTTTAACTTTAAAGTAGAGGAATTTGTGAGTGTGAAAAAAAAAGTTTCCAAAACTGGGATTCAAAGCCGGGACTTTCCCAGGTTGGTGTCCCAGTCGAGGCAAAGTTCCTTTTTTCATTCTGATCAGATTTCCCCTCTTCTGTTACGTTTAAATTATATTATTATTTACATTATGCGACATGTTGTTTCTGGGTTTATCCCGCTGTTTTATATATATATATATAATATATATATATATATATATATATATATATATATATATATCATTATTTATAAGCTTACACCCATTACTTGGCCTCTATTTTAAAAAGTTTACAAGGCTGAATATGATAGTAATAGCTGGAAGGTCTGAACAATGTAACTAGTCTTACTCCATTGTTTTGTTAGTACATAGTATTAATCAAATTTATTATTTTTTTTTCTCTCATTAGTATTGATGTCGGTGTCTTTTTCTGTGGTCCAAGCGGTTTGTCGGAAATCCTTTATAAAAATTGCAAACTGCATTCTGAAATTTCCAGAGATGGTTGCCGATTTTTTTATAACAAAGAAAACTTTTAATTTCTGTTAAGAGTATTTAGTAAAACATTCAGTGCCAAGGGTGACACCAGGATTTGCCCGACAGGGGCAACGAGAGGAAAGTGGGCGTGGTCGGGCATTGCTTAAAAATTTAGTGGTTTCAAATTCTTATTTTATCGACTTTAGAGTCTACTAATATGTAGAAAATACATACAGTGCACCTTCAATGCTGTAAATATACGTTGATAGAAAATTATAAACCATTACAGCACACATAAAAGAAGTGTAAACCATCACAAAGAAAGAAGTGTGTACTGATATACAGTTGTAGAAAACATTTATGATTGCAATATATATACATTTATTCCGTCAATCAAATATTTTTTTTTTACTTTGAAATCATGATAAATTCAAATATTTATATACAGTATATGAAATGTGTCTACAGTACTTAAATAGGTATTCAATTTTTTTAAGTTTACATTGAAACTGAGTCAATAGCAACACAGGTCTCGTTTGATCCAAATCTTTTCTTGTCTTGTCAGTAGTTTTTCTCATTAAGTAAATGATTGGAATGGTGTACTGTATCATATTGTTAATGCTTTCCTCTTCCATAAATAAGTTTAAAGGCTACCTTGAAACACACTGGCAAAACCCACAGCCTAAAAAAGAATGAACCCTACCAAAGTGGATATCTTAGAGGTGCTCACAAACCTTAACAGGTTTCCAATTTAGAGGTCAATGTAAATCAAGGAATATGATGATGATTACAATGACTACAAATTGTTCAATAATAATAATTTAAACAAGGTCATTCAATTTTATTTATTACTGTAGCTTTAAATTGAAGAACAAATAAAATAATTTTTTGTGCAATTTATTTTTAAAATATGTATTTAAATACGGTTTTTCTTTTCAATTTAAAACAGATTTTCTTATTGTTACATTACAATACTTTATTGTATTACATAGCTAACTGTGTTTAGTCACTTGTCTACTTCCGTCCCTTTAAAATGACCCTGCCTTACGCAATTCCATTTATTGCATTTTTTTTTTAAACATATTTATAGACAGTGACCCTTCCAAAGTATCCTAGAAGGTTGGCTAATATTCAGGGGACCTCTTAAGTAAATAAAACAACATCGAGTCGAATTAAAAGCTGCGCTCCCTTCCCCTCTCCCCAATTGGAAGTGCTTAACAAATTTCACCAGGGAGAAAAATATCCTATGTAATTTTTACAGGTAGGACTCAAACATAGATGCACAAGATTATGCTTCCGTTGAGGACATTTCCCCATCCCCTTCAGGGAATTCTTAGCACCACCACTGGTTATAGCGATTTATTTGCTTGAGCTGCACCAGACCTATCTGTTTTGTAATTTTAATTTGTTCAGTTCTTGCCTAAGTGACAAATTGTTGTTTGATCTGCAAGTCAAATTTTATCCAATGCCATTTTGTATTTGACTTTACTGTAGGCAAGTTTAACTGCAAATTAATTTATCTAAAAGCACACTAATTTCTTGGGTTGCAAAAAATATTCTGAATGCATCAAAGAAATGGCATATGTTATGTATTTTTGCAGCATTTTATATACTATACCAAAAATGTTTTTTCTTCTACTGTTTGATGCTTGTATTGTTTTATATACTATGTTTTTCTATTGTATGGTATGGACCAATTACGACTGAAAGATATTTATATGTACAGTATTCATATTTCTGTTGATTAAATAAATACCACCGATAACTTATTCAAATTTTTAGTGATAGCTTACAGACCCTATAGAGTTTGTGGTAATATAGTAAATTTTGCGACTTGAAAATTTCTAATAAGAAAGAATAAAAAGTTCTTATAATTCACATACATAGTACAGTATTTTGGAATTTTTCTTTTTGTCTCTGATCACATTAGGAGATAATACATAAACATACATAACCAGATAAAACAGTATAACTTTCCTTTTTGCAATGTTGGTTCTTATTTAATATCTATCCAATATGTTTTATTGCTGCGAAGTAGCCAATTCACATTCTTGACAGCAATTTGACCTCTGAAAGGTCATTGTTTGTCAAAAAACAAGGGCCTAAGACGACTGAAAAGCGGAGTTTTCTTCTTTCGTTCTGCCGGGTAAAATCAATTACTTTAGGCGACATTTGTAGACTAACCTACACGTACCAACTTCCGCATATCACGACGCTCGAGTATTACTATTCAGCGTTTTTACTATATTTCTAGGTTTACTATTTCTACGTTTAATCGGCCCATGTCCATGTCATGTGTTATTTACTAGCCTATTTCAGCGTGCTAATTATTACATTTAGGCGACGCTTGTTGTAGACTGGCATACACAGTACCAACACTCGTTTTTACTATGTTTCTACGTCAGCTCGAGACGCTTGAGTATTACTACTATTCAGCGTTTTTACTATAACCATGGGCGGTATAAATTTCAACTCGGCCCAAGTCTCGGCACAGTATTTTGAGGCCTACAGTATTTACGAAAACCCAGTTACAGTAAACTTATTTATGTCAACGTGCTAATTATTACATTTTAAAACAATAATTAAAAATGTATTATACTAGGGGGCTGCGAAACTGTGGCCAAGTTGACTTGGTGCCGAGTTGACTCAAATTCGATCATGCTTACGTTGTGTGGTGCGTTGGCAGTCAACTCGCCTCTACAAACTCGCCCCTAGAAAATTTGCCGCCTTGAAAACTCCCCATACTAAATCATCTCACCAAAAAAAAAAAAAAAATCCTACTCTAGGCCTAGACTAGCTAGGATGGTATAGGCCTAGCCTTGAAGGGACGAAGGTCCCAATGAAAAACGTCGCTCCTTGATAGCTAACATTGTCTATTTAACATCACAATAATTCATTATTAGACCTATAGTTGTTTCTTGAATTGTACTCCACAAATCGCAGCCGATACATCGCACAACTCGTTAACGTCTCGTGACTCGCTGGCTCGCACTTTGGTAACACTCTTTGGCAGTCAACTCGCCCCTAGAAAACCCGCCCTTGGAAACTTGCCCCATAAAAAAATGTACACTTCCCAGACCATGCAGTCTTCAAAATAAAAATTGTAACCTTTGGTAATCAACTACATTTTCCACATACATAGAAATTTTTGAAACTTTATTAAAAAAAACCTAAACCATAATTCACCACTATAGACACTTTATTCTAATATAGACAATGGGTCGTGTCTCATATTATTTGTTATATTTTTATTATTCATTATTTTCACTTGACTCGCATAAATAATTTTGTTCGAAGAACATTTATATGCAGTAGTACTTCGCAGCACTTCTCTTGCAATTTGCAATTTCTAGTATGTACAATTATACACATATATTCATAAGTTACATTTTAAAAAATCGTAATGTTCACATTCAAAAAGCATTTTTCTATTATCATGTATACTGAATTTATAATGACAGCACTCACCAATGGTCAAAACTCATTTCATCACATAAGTGAATGATTAAAGAAGAGCAACAAGAAATACTAATTATGTACTACAGAAACTTCCACAATCATGGTGTATGGTGTCTCCATTGGCAGAGTGGTGGACGAAGTTGTATGAATATGGTACGGTATGAATACTCTAGACGGCTAGAAATGGCGCTCTTAAGACTTGAATTTGAATATAATTTTCTTTTGTTTTTCTTCATTTTCAATATACTGTAATTTTCAAAAAAGGGCCCCAGGCTGGCTGCACCACCCCATCCCCACAACTTCTTTCCTCAATGGATTCAAAGTCTCCAATATATACCATCAAAATGTGGACACATTTCTAAAAATTATTCTGATGGAGTGGCTCCTGATTGTAACATCATTCTCAAAATGCTACTTTGATTAAATTTATTTCCAAAATTTTCATATTCATATGGTGTGTCTACTGTATGTATCTTCAAATGTCTTTTTAAAGTGCTGCTTCTTTTAAACCTCTTTCCGCAATGTTGACATTGATACGGCGTCTCTCCTGTATGTATTCTTATATGCGTTTTCAAATTACAGCTGTTTTTAAACTTCTTTCCGCAATGTTCACATTCGTATGGAGTCTCTTCTGTATGTACTCTCAAATGCCGTTTCAAAGTGTTGCTCCTATTAAACTTCTTTCCGCAGTGATCGCATTCGTATGGTGTTTCACCCGTATGTACCCTGAAATGTGTTTTTAAGTTGCTACTGTCTTTAAACTTCTCTCCGCAACGTTCACATTCATACGGTTTTTCTCCCGTATGCGTCCTCAAATGCTTTTTCAGAGTGCTCTTTCGAGTAACCTTCTTTCCACAAATTTCACATTCGTACGGAGTCTCTCCCGTATGGACGCTTAAATGAGTTTTCAAGTTGCTATTTTGATTAAACTTCTTCCCGCAAATTTCACATTCGTATGGCATCTCTCCTGTATGTATTCGCAAATGTGTTTTCATCATGCTACTCTGATTGAACTTCTTTCCGCAATGCTGGCATTCGTACGGTTTTTCTCCAGTATGTATCCTCAAATGTATTTTCAAAATGCTTCTCTGGTTAAACTTTTTTCCACAATGTTCACATTCATATGGTGTCTCACCCGTGTGTATCCTCAAGTGTCTTCTAAAATTTTTACTGTTAAACTTTTTCCCACAATGTTCACATTCGTATGGGTCCTCTCCTGTATGTATCCTCAAATGCTTTTTTAAACTGCCTCTGGTTTTAAACACCTTCTGGCAATGCTCACACTCATATAGTGTCTTTACTGTATGCATCATAGAATGTTCTTTCAAACTGCTACACTCTTTAAACATCTTTCCACAATGTTCACATTCATATGGTGACTCTCTTGTATGTATTCTCAAATGGTTTTCAAATATGCTTCTGCAATCTAGATTCTCTTCACCTTCAAATGGTTTATCTTCTGATGGTATCCCCAAATGTGTTTTTAATGTAGTTAGATCAAAAATCTTCCCGCAATTTTCACATTCGTATTTAATGTTGCATTCCAACCTATCATTTTCTTCATTTATTTCGGGGAAATCACTAATGTTTTCGTCTTTGTCGCCATTGTGTATTTCATCAGCAAAAAATACTATTTCTTCTGATATTAAAAGCGTTTCATCACCATTACTTTCTTCATCATTGCACTGACCTGTATAAATATAAATACATAGTGCTAAGGCTTATTAAGAATGCAACAGCAATAATATTTTCATAGTGGCAATAGGCACCAATTATTTTGTTTAATTAATTTACTTCTTTTCCAATGGGTGCACTCACAGGCCAAACATTAAAAATTGTATCTATTGAAGTAATTATTATTGCCACGTGGAAATAAGTTTACTGTAAACAGTGAAGTCTTGCTGTAATAGTTAAATGTATTTATAATAACCAAACTAACCTATTTCAACCTTTATTTTTGGATTCTGTTCCATATTCTTTCCATACCCAGCCACAGCTGCAACTTCATTCGCAGAGAATACTTCATCCATGGGGACTATGTGCAACCTGAAAGCAAGAGAAAGATGAAATTACATCACTAAAAAATTGCATACAAACTTGAGTTCATTTTTCTGTTTTTTAGTGTGGACCTCACATTATGCTTGAGTAGTGAACTAACAGTTATTGTACATCATTATTACAGACTGTAAAAACAGGGCCTGTGCTGGGAATATATCCCCTGTACAAAAATTCAGGCCTATGTAGAAATCTGTCCACATACTTAAAAAATTAATGGCTGATTTTCATGCAAATTTTGCAGGAACTTACACTTTGAACTATGTCCTAATATACATCCAATGTAATACATAAATTTACAATGCACACCCATTTTTTTTATTGATTTTCCCGCAAATTTTAGTAAGTTTTTCATGTACCCTCCCAGCAAAGAAAATACTTACAGTATGGGCCTATGGAGTAGTACTAATTAGGCCTGCCTAGCCTAGGCCCTAGATTAATTAAGATGAAATGAATGAAAATAAACTGATTTATTTTATTTATACATAAGGAGGTCACTGGTGGTATACTTAAACAGAGAGGAAAAGTAAATAAGGAGAACAGAAAACCAAAGTTACTAAAAAAAGAAACAAAAGAGTATGGGCCATTCCTTGTAGAAGTAGCCTAGTACAATTATATAGTAGTGCAGTAAGCCTATCCTGGCCTAGATTATTAAGACGAAAATGAAATGAGTTTACATAACCTGATTTATTTTATTTATACATAAGGAGGTGGTGGGATATTTAAACAGAGAGGAAAAGTAAAAAAGGAGAACAGAAAACCGAAGTTACTAAAAAAAGAAGCAAAAGACACAAAATGAAGCATTTATTAAATGGAGCAATCTGCAAACCTTCTTCTCGTTCGGTCGGTCAAATTCAACAGAGCGAGAATTACAGTTACACTCATGAATAAATAGAGGCCTAGGGCTGGCTAGAGGCTAGTAGTAGGGCCATAGGTCCCTGTTGAGTTGACCTGTTTCCACTAGCTAGATAGGCATCGGCCTACTACTACTCTAGCCACTAGGGGGGCCTAGACCAGCCACTACCTACTACTAACTAGGGCCCAAGGCTAGTCTAGGCCTTGGTTGTTTTGTTTATGGCCATGCTGCTAGGCCTAGCCTACACATACTACTAGGGCCTAATCGGGGCATCATACAATACAAAATCTTATCACAATGGAGGTACTTGCTTGTAGTTGTTTATTTATGAGTAAAAATGGATTTAAAAGCCATAAATCGTTCAGAAAATCGTCTTTGATGCCAGCCGTAGGATAACAGTGCGGTCGAGTTCGGATTGACCTTTTCTGATTCAAACGCGTTTCATTTGGTTTCATCAACAAAGTAAACGCATTCATGGTGCATGTCAATTATGAGACGCCGAATGTGCTTACAGTATAAAAGTTGATACTGTATATCAGTGGTTGATTTATATTTGATTGCCCTTTTCCCTTTCAGTTAACTGCATTATAAAAAATCCGGGTTTTTTTTTTCGTTATACAGCCTGAATTTATTGAAATGTTTGTTGAAATGTTTGTTTACTGTATGTTGCGAAAACTCCTTATTACCCATGGCCCACATTAATTTTTTTAGATAAATACTTATCAACCTATATAACTAATTTTGCCGTATATAATTCCTTATTTTTCTTTTCATTATTCAATCGATTCAATTCTTTCGCTGGTTTTAATTCAAAATGCTATTGGATAAAAAACGGGAACAGGTGAAAACGGCAAAAAAACCAAAACGGCAATAAGTCAACAGAGGGCAATAACCAAAACGGCAAAAAACCAAAACGGCAATACTTTTAGACCAGAATGGCAATGGACCAAAACGGCAAGACCAAAACGGCAATAAGTCAAAACGGCAATAAACCAAAATGGTACCACTTCCAAAATGACATACTGTATGGTAATTGGATGGCTAAATATAATACTACTAGGCTTAGGCCTAGAGAGTCAAGCCGAGGGCGACTAATCACTATAGTTATTGTTATAAAAATGTATCTGTACATAAATGATTGTGGTTATACAATCGCCTAAAATTGCAGAGCAAAAAAATGTACACTGTAATTAAAATAAAGAAGAAGAAAAAAGTATATGCACTTGTATTTACGACGTTGTCTTATAATTATCAATAGAAAATGATCCATTATAAGTAACGTACACAGCACTTGATGATGGCGAAGTCGTACCATAAACGGACCCGCTTGATTACGTGTTCAGAGTTGACCATAAACAGTAGGCAACACAGTTAATAATTGAATCACCGAATCAACAATAGTTTGCTAAAAACGCCTTTTTTTTAAAGATGTATTGTCCCTTGCTAATGTCAAAAATCATAAAAATAACTTTGAAATAAACTTTTTTAAACCAAAAAATTATAATGAAAATAATAAAACACTTCCAGTGACTGGAAGTGTTTCTATCATTTTTCGCTGTAAACTAATGGGTAGACATTTTTAAATACACTAATTTCTATGTTCAACTTTTATGTTACTTCAAAATGGGCAAGTTAATTTCAAAAAATATTTTTATGATTTTTTTGGTATTTAGCATGGGACAATACATCTTTAAATTAAAAGGTTATTGAAAGTAACGTTCCATGGGCGTTACCTGATGTGATGATGTTGATCAGGCATATTTCAAGAAAAATACAAAAACAGCGTGGTGTCCCTGTGCATTTTTGCATACGTATTTGTGTCATAGTTTTATGTACTTATTCAAACATTGATACAAACCAAAGTTGTCAGTTATTTCATTTGAAACCATGTGTCAGTATAATCTTATGTAAGCATGTGGTTAACATAAGCAAGAATTTAGTCCAATGAAACTGTTTATCATCTTGATATCTTCCGACGAAATTTGATCCTACCAGCGTCACCACGGCGTCCCCACCGATCGATCTAACGTGACGTTGTTATGTTGGTGTTTTATAGATTATAGAGAATGGTAATATCACCAAAAAATAGATAAAATGACAGTTAATGACCAACAAAGGCAATTGAAGACAATAGTTCGTCATTAGAAGTTATTTAGTATAACTTTATTTGGAAAATTAATCTCAAAATCGAGTTGCCGTCCCCGGCGTCGTCAGTGACGTAGTATGATTTGTGTGCGATTTTTACCAATTAACTCTAAAGTAAAAAATAGTTGAGCCATGTAGTACCTTGGAAATCAACCCAGAAACCCGGTAGTTTGTTGATTGTTTATTGGTAGCGTCCTTTCGCTGCCAAGTTTTTTGGCAGTTGCGTCCCGTTGACATCCACTATTCAAATGAATAACTAACATAAATTTTAAGTATTAAAGTGCCATTCTCCAACTTTATCTCATGCAGCCACAAACATGACGGGTGGATATAGTAATTTTCCTAGTTTTTATGTATGACATTGCCATTTTCCGGCATCAAAATTCCCCAATTTTTAACATTTTCTCACCTCCATGATGGGGATAGGCCTTTGTGGAGATAGTAATTTTTGTTGTTTTTATGTATTTGCCATTTTCCTGCATCTAAAAATCTCTAATTCTTAAAATTGTTTTACCTCAGCCTCAACCATGGTGGGCTGAGATAAATGGATTAAAATTTTCATAAAATTTTAAGTATCCGAGTGTTGTTTTGGGGCATCTATAAAGTCTCAAATTCTTGCAATTGACTCATCTGTACCCCAAAACCATGTTGGGGCTCAGGTGGATATCGTAAATTTTGTACTATTCAAGTGCTTTTTTGTGCATCTAACGAATCTCAACTTCTCAAAATGTTCTCACCTGAGCCCCAGCCATAGTGGGGCTCAGTTGAATATGGTAGGTTTTAGAATAGTAAGTACTTAAATTTCATTTTCGGGTACCTAATTAATTAATTAATTTGGGTTTTTTTTTTTTTTTTTTTTTTCATCCCCATCTTGAGTATTGTAATATCAAGTCTAATTCATGTCCTACTTAACATGCCTGTCTCCGAAGAGTTCCAGATTGCTTTGTTTGGTTTTTTTGTTGCCAACCACGATGGTACTGACGTGATGTGGACTCTCATTACATCAGCACCCCCTTCTTTAAAATATGGATACGCCACTTTGCTGAAAACAATAGTTAAGACAAATATATTTCCATTCGTTTTGTTGTTCGTGTAAATGTCTGATAGGTTATTACTTTAAAACAATGCTAAAAATACAGTGTCAATACGAACATTTACACATGTAAGACTGAGCTGAGCAAATCCGAATTAAGATGGAATTAGTAGTGGTTATGTGACGTTTGTCATGCACTGTATTATGCGCTATAGAAATGGAGGACCATAATGTAATGGGAATGAACGGCTCTGGTATTGCCGACAGTACAATCAGTGTAAAATATAGGCTAGTGTGGATTTAAATATGTCCTAATGGCAATGATCAAAATAAATGTAAATCAAATAAATATGCCTGTTGGGGTGAGAGGGGGTGTATCTTTGTAGTTAGGCAGTTATATACTGTCTTTATGTCTAAACAAACTTTAATTTTAACACCGGGTCTCCATTTTATAAGCTCCTAAGAGTTTCGTGGAGGTCCTTTTATATGTATATATAATAATTTTATATATATTTTCACGACAGGTTGGGCAAAATACATATAGGCTCCCTAATTGATTCTCCTGACGCAAATCCAGGTATTGTTTATCGTCACGAAAATAACATTTACCATTCAATAATAGAACAGTCATCGACCTACTTGCAGTGAATTGAATCTAAAATGTATTCATGATGTTATGATGATCTGAAGTGTTTAAAAACGTACACAATAATAGTTTAACCAACATTAATACCACAAACACAAATGTGCGTGACGATATTTTATTGCTTTAGAAATGTGATTTCAAAAAAGTAGTGCATCGTATACGTGGGCTTGTTTTGTTTTGTTTTTACTTGCAGCGTTTGGGAAATAGGTAATAGGTAAATTGTAATGAATATAATCAATAATATATAGCATCTAAAACCTATTATTATTGAAGGGTCCTTTTAAAGTTTAAATAGGATTTTTTTAAAGTTATATTTTTAGAGCATTAGACCTATTGAACGAGCCCCCAATAGCCCCGGGCCCCAGTGCTGTGCACTGACTGCACTGTCCATACCTACGCCACTTGACCTAAGTATAGTGTTACATAACGTTTGCTATGCACTGTATTTGCTATAGAAGTGGAAGACCATGTATTGGAAATATACCTCTCTCTCTCTGGTAGGGCCTACAGTACAATCAGTTTAAATGTGTAATGTATAGAATAGTGGGGATTTAAACATTTTCCTAATGGTAATGTTCAAAATAAGTGTCAAGGAAAGTCAGTATGATTGTTGGAAAAAATGGTCAACATTTTATTTTGAATTCTCACCCTGACCTTCGCCTGGGCGCAGTGGGCGAAGGTCTGGATCCGCGTCTAGTTAGCATGAATTTTGTAAGCCAGGACCCATAGTATTTTGTTACGTTTCTTCACAGAGTGGCCCCCCCCCACCTGGATCCGCCACTGTAAATGTGCTAATATTTAATATAGCTTTTAACGATGCGAAGCGAAGACGAAATCTCCCAATTTGGTGATTAAATCGGCAATGCCCTAAGAAAACTTCAAGCAACAAATTGAAATGCTAAAAAAAGAAAGTGCATGTTTTACTAGTGTGCACGAGAAGCACACACACAAGACAAGCGACCATTATTTTTTGTTCACGGTAAACAAAGGGGGGTGGCTAGCCACCCTATTCACCCCCCACCCCAGAACCGCCACTGATTGTATTTGTAGATTTACGATTTAGGCCTATATTTGTAAATGGGAGCAACTTTAATTATGTAATTGTTAAGCACCATAGGAATTTAAATTATTTTTACGTATGTAGGTGTGTCAGAAGGTGCACAAATGAATGGTGTAGTAGTGTGAGACAGGGCGGTTTTGCCACTATTTAAAAAATGTCAATGCATATTAATGTTATGTGCTACTCATTTATCTATTCTGGAACTGTTGTGTGCCCCCTCCCCCTTTGAAAAATTTTGGATCCGCCCCTGTAATAATGACATCATACCAATTTTCTTCTAAAGTTCAAAACCCACTGTTTTTTTTAAACTTGTGGAAAAGGATAACATTGTATAATTAAAGATATATCATTATTTTTATGAATGTGGGTATGTTCGTTTGTTTATTTATTTAGAAATTTTAAAGTAATTCGTATATACCTCGCACAGGTTGTTGTTCGCACATGTGGATCTTCTTCCGCTCGAACTAGCATCCGCTCGAATTCGCTCGAATTGGCCTTCGCTCGAAGTGGCATCCGCTCGAATTGACTGGTTCCCAGGCTGGGACATGAAAGGTTGTTGTTTGTTGTTATTTCGCAATTCGCGACGTCATCAACGAGCACAATACATTCAATCCCGTAACATGATTGGTCAATTTTTTTCTAATTTGCATAATGAATTTTCCCAACATTTTTGTCTATTTAAAAAAAAGTGTGTAAGTTATGGAGATGGTAACAATCATAAATCGATTATAAATTTAATTATACATTTTTAAACAAAAAATAAACCCTCTTGGCCCATGGCCCATTTTTTTTTGACACCATGACCATGCGTAATATTAACCTGCAGTGTATATATACTAAGAATTTTTTCTAGTAGGGTTAGAGTTGACTAACTGGTACTTGGTGTGGTACTAGGTTTATCGCATTTATGGCTTAGGGACCGCGGTTTACCTCCCTCCGTTTAGTCATGCTGGATCAGGAGTAGTAAACTCGGCGATCGTGGGTTCGATTCCCACACGGGGCAAATTTTTTAAATTTTTTTTTTAAGGTCGTGGGTTCGATTCCCACACGAGCCAGTTTTTAAATTTTTTTTTTTAAGGTCGAAGGTGGATAATGAAGCAAACCTGGTGGTTGTGTGTTCAAAATATCGTCGCCGTCGTGGTATTTAGTATGTTGACGGATGCTGACGCTTGTTGACGCTCCTCATCATCCACGATTCTATGCTCATATTGATATATTTTTGTTGTGACGACCCAGTCGGGTAAATCAATCATTGTTTTTAAGGTTAAGAAGCGTAGGCATTAGGATTTACCTACATAAATCGATTTCTAATAAGTACGCCGTAACAATATACGTTTTTGTGGAAATAAATGTAAGCTAGGCCTAGTCATAGATAGGCCTAGCTAGGTAGGTAGAGCCTCTTAGTTACCTAGGCCCAGCCTTCTATTATTGCCTAGGCCCTACCTAGGCCTACTGGCTGGGTAGGAGGGCCTTTTTGGCCTATCTTGCTAGCCTAGGTCCAGTAGCAATAGGCCTAGTTAGTAGTTGTAGTTCTAGGCTTTGGCCTACTACCTCTAAACCTGCCTCGCCCTAAGCTTGGCTTGGTTCTTGACCTAGCCTAGGCCAGGTCTAATTAACTAGGCCTATAAAGTAAGTATAGAATAAAAGGGAAGGTGAAATTCCTGATCTGCAGGTCTAGGACTTTCTAGGGAATTTATCCGCCACACTCAAATTTAGCTTAGAAATTCGTCTGCATATTTTGGAAAATATGGCCAATTTCTGTGCGCAAATTTTTCCAAAAATTAGGCTTCGACCAAATCTTAATGTATACGGCAATTATGCAGCAATTATGATTCTGCGCACCTATTTTTATAGCGATTTTCTATGCAAATTTGAGCTGATGTTTAGGTATACCTTTTGTTTAAATATGGTTATCATTTTGTCTTTGACATTTACATTTTCCTACAAGAAGATTGACTGACCAATCAGAAATGTATATATAGATTGAAGCCACACCTCCATACAAAGACAAGTACGGCCAAGTCTACCTCAGAAAGGTGCCAGCGAGAGAGCAGTTAAATTATTATTGTTATGCACCATTGACTTCACATTTTTTCACTACAAAACTAGACTTTCTAATGGTATTAATTTTGAAATTCCTAAAGCTAAAAACTGAATATTAGAAAAATAGCCTTTCATTTCATGGTAGTAAGCTTTAGAATAACCTTACACTGGTACAGATGATCGAAAATATGCTCCTAAGTAATATCATCTTTTAAAAAGTCTACTTCATCATAATTTTTTCCCGTTGATTTTGTCTTTATCCCTGAAAAACCTTGATCAAACAGGGCAGGGACGTAGCCAGGATTTTGAAAGGGGGGGAGCCGTTATGCGAATTACGTATGACCCCGGCGGGGTCAATCCCCCTGTGAAGTACGGTAGCGCACTCCGAACGTTCTTAGGACTGTTTGAGAGGATAAAGTGAAAATTGCAATAGACGCATTACAAATAATGTAAAGATAATTATATAATAAATCAACAGTGGCAGATCCAGGAATTCGAAAGAGAGGTGAACCAGGGAGGGACTTTCACAGACCGAGGAACCATCCACCTCAGCCCCACCATGGTTGGGGCTGAGGTAAGAAAATTTATGATTAGGGCATCTCTAGATGGCCAGAAATGACACTTTTAGTAAAATTCATCATCGTCACATCACCATTAGTCAAAATGAAGCGCCAACAAAAATTCTCAT